ACCGGCTTCGGTTTGTTTGTGTTCTTGCTCTTGTTTTTGCTGTGTGTCTTGTCGCCCTGGTTAACAGTGAAGCGTGTGGTTCTTTTAAAGGGAAAAGCATGACGAGAAAAGTAGAAGCTTGGCGCGAAGAGGCCCAGGAAGGCCCAGGAAGAGGAAGCATGGATCGAGCGGTCTGTCGCCCCTTAAGGAGAGAGGGAAGAGTGACAGCAAGAGCGGAAAGTAAGGCTGGAACGCGGGGAAGATGGGAATGGCAGGGTCTCTGCACCGCGTCCTATCGGGGACAGCGTCCCTCAGGCAGCGGGGTCCCGGTGCGGTGCGTCGTCGTCTCAGCAGAGCACGGCCGTTGCAGCAGGGCTTTACCGCGTGGTGGTGCGGTGGCCACTCGTTGCGTCCTTGCGAGCGGGAGTGCCATTGCGGGGTCGCCTCACCATCGTGCGCCTGTTGCCTCTGGAGGAGAGACATGGGGCTGGCTGGCGCGTGGCCTGGGCAGGTGAACGGCGGGGCAGGCCGATGGCATAGAGAGCCAGGGATTGCGTGTCTTCGTGTGCGTTCCACGCCGGGGCGGTGGCTAGCACCAGGGGCTCTTCTGGGCACTGAGCGGCCGTGTCCGTGCTAACGATTTCAGTCCTAATGAATTCCCGAATGTGAAAGAGGTTTCTGTGCTGGGGCCTTTCTGCCATGTCGCCCTCCCATCGTCCTCCTCTTGGTGGGAAATGGGCTTGTTGCCTGCGCTCTCTCTCTCTCTTCCCTGGTGGGTGTCTGGACCCCTTTCTCTTGCTGTGCTGGCTCTGGGCAAGTTTGATAGCTTTATTTGGGTTGCTTGAGCACTTCTGTAGTTCTGTGAGCTGCCTCTTCTTTCTGGGCTGGGTCTCGCTTGGTGGGTCAAGATAGGAACAAGAGTCGGGCCCGATTCCCATCGATTTTCACCTGCCCTGGTGCCTCTGGAAATCAGGCCCCTCCATGGTTTTGTAACTTGCTTCTCTTCTTCGGGGTTTGAAAGGCTCGGGACGTCCACAAGTGTCCGGACTCTCTTGCATGTGCGTCTCTGGTGGAAACGGATATCGTGGGCATTCGTGGAAGCCTTGCTCTGAAAGCTGAGCCATACGTAGATCTGCCTTCTGATGGCTGGAGGCTGGAAAGCGGCGTCGGTTTGGCTTTGGGTTGGGGAGGAGAAGTCAGGAGGGCAGAGAAAGAGGCTGCTTTGTACCATTGTGGGGAGGCGAAGAGGCTGCGTTGTCTTGGTGGCTTCACAGATGTGGCAGCTGTGGAGTTGGCCTGGCGGATGTAGTGTGAAGGAGATGGCTGTGGTTTGCTTCTGTCACGAGGTGGCCGTCAGCAGTGATGGGAATGGGAGATGGCACAGCGTGTACGAGGGAGTTGAGTGGAGACTTGGCAGGAGTTGTTTAAGCATTGGCTCACCTCTCTGTCCATCAGCTGATTGCTGGAGGCAGCTAGGGAGCGGTGACACCCGTCCTTTTCCTACCTGCTCTTCTTCCTCTCCTTCCCCCCAATCCCATAGAGGGTGCAGGGAACCCGGTCACAAGTTTTGCTGGTTAAGGGCCAGATCTGTAGCATTCATGGATGGCCTAGGCCCGGCTAATTCCTTCCCCCACCCTGTTTGCCTTCAACTCTGCTCTGCTGTCAGCTCCCTGCTAAAGCACCACTCCTGCCACGTGCACACAAGGATCTCCACCAGCCCGTGGCTAGCCCAATACCTACCGTATCCTGTGGAATGAGTCTCCTTGTATCGGTAGAAAACCCAGGGAAAGACCTGAAGGGTTATCGCATCCGTTCTTCCCTTCCTGCTCCTTAGCACAGCAAATGGCTCTCTGCGGCCCTTGCCTAGCCCAAACACGGGTGCTCCCACCGCTTGCCTTCAACGGCCACTTCGCAGGCCTGCAGATCTCTGCCGAAAAGCACCCTGCTTCACACCGACCATCTAGAGCAGGCATCAGGCACTAATTGGCACTTCTGCTAAATGGGCCAAATCCTCACAGGTCTCAGGTGATATAGGTTCTTTGGACTCATGGATTTTCCCCAGCTGGGGGTATAGTCCCAGGTGCCAGGTTTGAGGGCCTGTTACTGGGGAAGTGACCTCTGCAGAGGTTGGTAGATGCTTGCAGGAAGGAAAGGCCAGCCTTGATGACCAGTCCTGTGTTTGGCTTGCAGACTGAGCAAGTCCTTACTGCTGTCCGAGGACTCCGAGACTGGCGAGGGGATGAAGAAGAGGCACAAAGGGGCCCTCCCTGAGGAGGACGAGGATGCAGAGAGCGGCGGTGGGAAGGTGAAAGGGAGGAACCAGAGTTGGGAGGAGCACGAGGCAGTGTCCAGCTTTTCCAATGAGGTCAGTACTGTCACGGCGCGCATGGGACTGCATGCCAAAGGCAGAGGCAGCATGGTCCAGAGGGTAGAGCAGGGTTTCCTCTGAGCCTTGCAGATGCTGTTCTAAAGCAAGTAACACATAAAGATGTGCCATAGGCAAGAGGCCCTAGCAAATGTCTTGCTGTATGGAGGGAGCAGCTTGGGGGGCACCTGAGCGCAGGGCTGGTGTTGCTGCCTGCACTGGTATTGAGCCGAGGGGCTGGTCAACTGACCTGCATGCTCTTTTAAAACACCAGCGTGTTTTTTGCGGTAGCAGCACAATACTGCAGTCCGGACAGTACGACTGGTCCCCTTTACCGTTACAGCAGCATGTCAACTCTCATGAGATAAATGAGTCTTGCAATATTTGGGGCGTTTTTTTTAAGGCCTCCGTTTTTTGGACTCAAAGTAATTATGGAGCATCTTGCTATACTGATTTTTTTTTTTTTAACATGGTTTCTGGTCTGTACAGTTGTCGAGAAGAGCTTGTAGGTATAATTTGAGTGTGCTCTAAAGGGTCACCATTCAGAAGGGGCCCAACATGTGTTGTTAAAAAAAGGCATGATTTTTTTTTTTGGACCAAAAAATGCTTAGCAGCTCCCGAGTCTTGGAGGCTCAGTGTGGGTGAGCTTGTACTAGGTACCCCAGGGCAGAGCTTCCTCTGCTGCCCTATGTGTATCCTTCTGCAAATGCCAACAGGATGCCAGCCCTGGGAAGACTGCCGTCTCCTGCCCTCTCTCGCAGGATACATCCACAATGGGGTTAAGTTTTTCCTTTCTAGGCCCTGTTCGTTTGAGCGTACCATGGACTGCAGTCAGGTTCATCAGGAGAGTCAGCCTATAAAGTCTCTGGGGTCCGTCTCGAAACGAAGCTGTATTCAAACGTGTCCATTTCCCCTTCCTTCCTCGACAGCTAAAGATCAAGAAGAAGAAGGTGGCGTCAGATCAGGAGCAGCTGGCGAACAAGCTGGACAAAGCCCTGTCACTCACCAAACAGGACAAGCTCAAATCCCCCTTCAAGTTTGCAGACGGCTCTGGGGGGAAACAGAAGACCGGCGGAGGCAGTGTCAGCCGATACCTGTCGCCCCACGAGCCCCTGTTGAGCAAGGAGGAGAAGAAGAGCATGGCTAAGAGCCTCAGCTTGTCGCTGAAAACCTCCAAAGAAGGTAAAAATAAAATGGCTGCCAAAATGAAGAAGATGGAGGTGGGGTTAAAAGTCAAAAGTCAGCTGAAAGTTTCCCATTCACCAGCAATATCTGAAGTTAGCAGCTACTCCTATAGTAAGTAACCTCTCACTTATTCCTTTTTTACAGTGAATTTATGTTGCGTGGGGTTTTTTTGTGTTGTTTTTTTATGAGGACTTAGTCTCCAAGGGCCATTGGAAATGGATCTAATTTGGCTTTCAAGCCAAAGGTGCTCCCCTCCCTTTGCCTGTCGATTGGAATTGGTGGAGTCTAGGCTGGGGTCTGTGCACAAAGCCTTGGGTGCTTCGGTTCTCAGCATCGGTAGCTGCTGAACAGTAACATAAAAGTCTCTATTAAAAACCTCTGTCGGGACACGATCGTACATCACAAATGTAAGTCCCCGCACACTAGACTTACCCTGGGTTGAGGTGAAAGGCATTAGTTGGTTATTTTTACGCTGTAACAAGGCACCATTCAGCAGATCTCTTCACCCTAGTACAACGTATTTCGGAGGGCGGGCAAGTGCCAATTGGCATCTCTTCAGTACCTGGCCCACAAACCAGGGCCCAGGACAGGTGAATTAACTTGGCAGAGAATTAAGAGATCCAAGAGGAGACGCTAGCAATTATCCAATAAGATAGAGGTTTACACGGCAAAGTGAAGGGGATGCATCTTGACTGTCAAGGATGCCCAAACCACCGACCGATTTATTTTCTCTTCCGTGCATTTCTGATCCCAGAATGACTTTCCTGCATGGGGTCCATTGAGCACCCAGCAGTGACAAGGGGCTGGGGGCGCTGGGTGGATGGGGTCACGGCTGGGAGGGCCGTTGGCTTTTGACGTAGCAGTTTCGAGCCTGAGAATTGCCTCCTGTGGACTCGTACATTGGTGTTCCCAGGGAGCCGTTGCCTCCGTTTCCACTTTTGCACTAAGCTTTCCATCGGAGGTGGGGTCGGTTGGGACTGGGAGGTAGTTTGCGGCCTCCCTCTCCTGCTGCGAGGAAGAGGATGGTTCTTCAAGGACCCATGCAGTGAGATGGCTCCATATCTCTGTGCTCCAAGCTCTACCCTGGGTTGAGGTGAAAGGCATTAGTTGGTTATTTTTACACTGTAACGAGGGACCATTCAGCAGATCTCTTCACCCTAGTACAAAGTATTTCGGAGGGTGGGCGAGTGCCAATTGGCATCTCTTCAGTAGCTGGCTCACAAACCAGGGCCCGAGACAGGTGAATTAACTTGGCAGAAGAAAAATGGTGAGGGCACCAGATCCTTTCCCCATCCTGCTCCAACCCCAGGGCTATTTTTGGGGGTCTTAAAAAAATGCAGACCTCCAGGACCCCTCCTTATCCTCCCACCAGTGCCCGTCTCCAGATGTGGTTGGAGAGCAAGTGCCGATCCTAACAAGCTGGAAGCGTTTCCCCCCCCCCGTCATGTTCGTAACACTTTGGAATTAAGGATGCATTCAGGAGTAACAACATAACATTCAAATCCGCTTTTATTGGATCCATTGGGTACCATATAGTCTTAGCTCCGCTCATCGGATACTGGATGAAAATATTGGATGATTCTCAGTATTGGGTACCCAGGGGAAATGTCAGCTTTATAAAGAGTAGATTGTATTTTGGCTGGATGACTGTATTTTCTTGCATACAACATGCCTGGTAATATAATATGCACTTTGTTTTTGAAAGTCAGAATTAATTAAAAAACCCAACTCATTATAGTAAGTAGCTGAGTAGCGGCAGTTAGGGAGCAGAGCCAGCTCCATGTTGTGCTCTTGTGAATCCTATGCAGATTTGATTTGACTTTCACTTTTGCCCATAACTGGCAGAAACAGTGTTTACCGTATTTATTGTATATAATGCACATACTGCAATTTCCAGCAGCTGTTTTTGGGGGAGGAAAGGGGCATGTTATATGTACAAAAATATGACACTACAGGCTAAGGAAGGACCTCCAGACTCTGGCTCGCTCCTTTTGTCCCAGGTAGCCTCAGTCTCGTTGCGTGGTGCTGTTTGAATGATGGCTGATCGCGCGATACACTTAGTAAACATGATCTTTAGCCCATCCCTGCTATTTCCTGGCTCACCGTGTTGACATTTCATCATGCGGGTGAATTCATGTGCAAATTGAGGGCCAGTTCTGGCATTCATCATATCCCTAGTTAAGGCTTACTACAGCAGGGTTGGCGTCCCATCTGGCTCTTGGCATTGCCAACTTTACAATGAGTGGGAATTATTGTTATTATTCTTTTTTAAATCCAACTTGTTTTTCCTGAGCACCACACTGCGATACGTTGGTGGGGATTTCCAGTCTGGGGAAGGAGCGGCCGTGCTTCTCTCGCGGTGTTATTTTTTTTGCTAAGGGATTGCACTGAAGAGCCTCGTTGCAGCATCCATCGGCGGGTTTTTTCCAGCTCAGGCACGGGCACTTGTCAGGGCTAAACCCTTTTAGACGGAGGAGTAGTCTTAGAGCTGTGTTTGCCCAGCGCCCCCTGAGTCTGCTGTCAAGGGATCTCTGCAATTCGAATGGAGTCTAATCTTCATGCAGGAGTAATGAGTTTTGCATTCTTAGATCAAATCCAGAATTTCTTCCAATTCAAACTAAGCAAAGATTTAGGTGGCTTTCCCTGGACAGAGACTATCGGTCTGGGGCTAGGGTGTCAGGCCTCGTGCTTTTGGTTGGCTTCGTCCCTACCAAACCCAAAAGCTACGGCGATGTACAGCTAGGAGAGGCAGATAAGGATTGCGAAGCGCCCTCCGCGCTGCGTAGGGGCAGCTCGTCCAACTTGCAATGCAAGCGTTCTCGCAGCCTTTTGTCTCCGTTGCAATGTCACCCTTTTTAGACCGTTAAAAGACAAACCCGCGGCCAAGTGCATTGATTTAACGCTATTAACGCCTACTTTGACTGCAGATACGGACTCGGAGGAAGATGACGAATCCCTGAAGGACGAGTGGCCTTCTCAGTCTCCCTCCAGCTCCAAAATGAGACCCCCAAATCTCTACAGCGTAGTGGCCAAAAAAAGCAGCAAGCCAGCCGGGGGCCTCAAGCCAGCCAAGAGGGGCATGGCTGCCACTAGGACTCTCAAATCTAAACCGGCCGCAAGCAGGAAGCAGCAGTTTTGCTTGCTGCTGCGGGAGGCCGAGGCTGGATCTTCGTTCAGTGACTCTTCGGAGGACTCGTTCGATCAAGGTTACTAGATTATAACAAACACAAAACAAAACAAAACCAGAAAAGTCTCTTCCGTGTTTGTGGAACGAGTGTGTGTGCGTGTGTGCGAGCGCGTGTGCGAGCGAGAGATGGTAGGACTGAGGTCTGCCATCTTTGATGGTCAAAGGAAGGGCGGCCGTCTTTGTTCCTGGCAGCGTAGCCTGCTTTATCGCTATAATCTTTTTTGTACTTGTATCATTGTGATATTATTATCGGCTGGCTCTTTTGGAGCTTTAATATCAATTGGATTTTAGTCTCCACTTCTCCCCTCCTTTCCTCTTCCCCGTCTTCCCTTCAGTCCCCCCTCACTCTCTTCCTTGCTGCCACCACCACCATGATATGATTTTTATTTTTATTTGTTTTTTTTTTTTCAATTTTTTCAATTTTTTTTTATTTTGGCATGGGCCTTGTAGAGGTTTGGAAGGAGCTTGCTTTCTTTTTATTTTTTTTTCTAATGGGATACTGTTGTGTGGGTGTGTGATTTGATGTTTGTACTGCAATTTGGTATACCAAGCTTTATTAAACATATCGAGTTCATTTTTAACTAAACCTGTGTACCTTGTCTCTCTTGCTGTGTCTCTTATTAGGCAATTAGGTTGCTGCTTCACTTCATCCTGCTCTGCCTCCCCTTTTCCCTTCCCCATTCCTGATGTATAGAGCTAGAATTAACATAGTCTCAGGCGCTCTCTATTATTCAAATATCCCTGATAGCAATTGGCTTTTGCTATATTTTCTAAGACAAAAAATGGATGTTGTCCCCCCCCTCCACCCTTTTACTTTTGTTTATATTTTGCAGCGATTGGTCATTTAATTTTTTTTCCCTGCTTCCTTTGGATTAGACTCTTTTGAGGCAGACGTGTAAAAAAAAAAAAAAAAAAAAAAAAAAAAAAAAAAAAAAATTCATAGTAACAATAAGCTGGATAGATATTCACATTTCTGTTCCAAAAGCGTGGCGTTGCAATCCTGTATTTTTGCAACCCCACGATTTTTGCAAATGTTGCGGATGTGTTTATAATGCACACGGCACTCGCTCGAGCCTTTTTGGATTATGCATTTTTCAGATCTCATAATTAACCCGCAGATGTTCACGGACGTAGAAATCGCCACGTTGAATTGGACCCCACCGTTCAAACCCTAACCCCATCCCCAAATTTCTCCCTTTGGCTTTTTGTTCATCTGTCATTAATACTTCGCTGGGAAAAGAGATCGTTCGAGACTTTTCCTCAAGAGACACAAGGCAGTTTCTGGTTTAGAGCGTGCTTATTAAATAATAATCATGGGGGAAAAGTCAATTTAATGAGCTCTGGAGTTTCCAACTCGACTCCCAAACGAAGGTGGCTCGCGTGGGCTGAATGTTAAGGAAGGGGGGAGGAAGCGTAGTGTCCCCTGTTATCAGCAAGGTAACAGGTTAACCGAGCACCTCCTATTTGAACGTAGCACAGCAGAGTCCCCGTAGGGATTTACACCCCGCTTCAGAGAGCTGCTCATTCAAGGTGGGTTTGGCTTTTTTTTTTTTTTAGTGTTGGTTTTTTTTTTCTTTTTCCTTTTTGCTCTGACCCTCTTTTACCCCGCTTCTCTTCCCCTGCCCCCTCTCCGCCAAAACGAGCGACCCATTTTTAACCATCAGAATTCAGCCCCCCAAAGCTGCAAACCGCTGCTTTTTCGCATGGATCTGAAGCGGCCCTGCCGATGCATTCATGCAAGAGGAAACCTCTGAGGGAGAAGCAAAATGTCTCGGGGAAGTGACATTTCCTCAGAGGACCTGCAATGCCGCAGCGGTGGTGGGCTGCTGCAAGGATGATGGGCTCTGCATTTTCCATGAAGAATGGTTCAGCCACCTCCATCCAAGCTGGCACCCCTTCCCTTTTCCCCACCCCACCTTTTCCTTCATTCCTTTTTTTTTTTTTTTTAATTTGCTGCCATTGGAAATTTTGAGGATATCAATCCCTTTTCCAAGCCCTTGAGGTTTTTTGTACCAGATAAGCAGATAGGTAGCTTGTCCAGAGACTTCAGACCTTTGCCTGGCTTGATGCGTGTCTCAAGCCACCTCTCTGCTTAGGATCCCAGTTTCCCCGGGGTAGAGTCTGGGGTGGCGGGGAGGGAAGCGGATGGGAAATCTGGAACAAGTGGGGCAATGCATTGTAAATCATGCTGCGGGGTTATTGAGCGGCGGGGGGGTTGCAAAACGCTGGGGAAGGTGAAGTTTGCGGGGGGGAGGCGGGAGGGGTCACGGGTGATCTTTTCTGAAAATGGCTCTTTTTTTCTATGACGCTTTTCTGTAAGGGATATTTGGGTAATAGGGTTTTCTAATGGCTTTCCCTGATACTAAACCGATTAATAACCTCAGCTTTTCTAGAAGTGCTCGCTTTCTCCTTGCAGCTGCTTGACCAACCCCTCCACCCCTGACCCCTATCCATGACGCTTTGAATGTCTGTATCGGTCTCTTGCATTTGCTCTCTGCACTAAAGAAGCAAAGTGATTGGCTGGGAGTAGGGCAGACACTGCTCAGCGAGGGGTCTCTAACCATGAACCTGAACCTTGAACATTGTTATGTAGGTAGGCAAAATACCTTTTCTTTATGTCATCTGTAAACCTGAGACGTTTCGATGTTAACCCCATGACTTGATAACACACGTAGACTTTTTGCATTTTCCGGCTGGCTTGGAATTGGAAGAGGATCAATGTCCACTTGGATTTCACTGTCCTGCAAGGAAGGTCGGCTCGAGCGTGTGTGCGTGCTGAGGGCTCCAGAAAGACCTTGCGGATCTGTAATTCCTTCGCGGGGAAATCTCCTCCCAAGCAAAAGACAGGCCCGACTTGACCGGGTCGACCTGCTGCGGGAAGCTTATGTGGCTTCTTGCAGTGGAGCGACCTTGCCTCGCCGGGACCCAGGATCCACCGATGTCCGCGAGGATCGTTGGCTGGATGATGACTTTTGTTTGGGAAAGGGACCTCGCTCTACAGAAAAGCCCCTGGTTTTTGGTTTTGCTCTGAGTTTTTCCTGGAGGCCAGCAAAGTTGGGGGGTAATTTGCTTCCCCCGGGAGTAAGTGTAGCATCACCGTTTGATGAAGCGTGCCATATCTCATCAGGTAAAGTCCATGGGAAGTGCCTTTGGTTGGTAAAAGCCATGCAAGCATGTAGGAAGCCATCAAGATGGTCATTCTTGGCCAACATTTCTTCCCTCTGTCTCGATGCAACTTTGAAAACGAACCTCTCTCCTCTCCTCTCCTCTCCATCAGTGGGGAGACAGCTTATGCAAGCATAAACCAGGGGGGGGTTTAATCGCCTCTCCCGGCACTTGATCCGGAGGAACTGTTATGCATGCAGTATTTTGGTTCTCGATGCAAAGCATTTCTGGAGCCCGCAGCACAACACACGGAGGGAACAGAAACCCTTAAAAGAACGTGAGTTGATGTGTTTGACAAACCCGGTGCAATGTTTCGAGGGAAAATTGAAACATCACTAATATTCCAAATTGGACAGATCACTCCAAACGGAGGTGAAGGACCCGGTAGCTGTCTAACGTCTGCCTGTACTTAGCCTGCTTTGTATGCTGTAGGCCTGCTTGGCATTTGGAGAAAACCATGCTATTCTTTGACAATGTGAAATGAATCTTTTGAAGTGTGTGTTTTTTATCCCCTTGCCTCCCTCACCCGTCTTCTTCATGCTCCTCCAAACTCACCTTGCTTCCCATCCGTCTTTGAACATCCGAATTACTTAACCCGCTCCTGTCCATCATTAACAACCCGTTCACTCACTGCTCTTCTAATGACCACAAAGCCCCGTGCCAGCTCGGCCATCTCGAAAGACAAAGGGAAAGTTTGAACCTTGCTCCCTTTTTTTTTTTTTTTTTGGGTGCTGAATTGGATGCACAGGTTAACGTTTTGTCTATAAAGTATTTGGTGCCTTTGGTTAATTTGCTGCCGATGGCATTTAAACATCCCTTTCTTTGCGTGTGTTTGTGATGGATACCTACGTGTGCGTGTTTGTGTGTGTGTGTATGTACGTACACAGACACACAATCTTTGGAAATACTGCGGTTACTACAGATGGGGTTTTTTTGTGTTATGTACACTTTTCTTTCCTTGGCAAAGCATTGGCTGCTTCATAATGTTTGGGGAGGGCGGGGAATGAATATTGTTTTATAAAAATGTTGCGTTTCCCACCTCGGACCTGAGTTCCTGTTAAGGTTTCCAAGTCACTGTGTCTACATGGTGTCTCCTGTTACGTGTAGTGGGGAAACAGGCTGTGCTACAGGGGTTGTTGTGCGAGCCGTGGTGATGTGGTTTCTAGGGCCGAGCAGAGCGGGGCATTTCCATCTGCAACTTAACTTGGGGATCTTCGTTCTGAAGGCTACGAGTGAAGGGAGACGCCCAAAATATTTTATTTTTTTGACTTGTCCCATGGAAATCCTAAAGGGGAAGGGAGTGTGAGGCTGCGAGGGATGGAGGGATACATCCCATAGCAATGGCAGGAGGAAGTCATGTTTGCATTTAAAAAAGTATTTTTTCCTGTTCTGGAAATTGTGTCTGACATGGATAAGACTCGTGTTTTTAAGAAGTGCTTTGGGTACGGATTGGCAATAGGCTTTCCCTAGTATGACAGTAGGTTGGAGGGAGAAGAGAACTGCCAGATCGGTTGTTATGTGGATATTTGCCATAGTGCGAGCGACGGCTGGTTGCAGCACAGTTTTTACATCGTTTTACCTTGGTGTGTTTAAAGTGCTGGAGTTGCGTGGCCTATTTTATAGATTAGCAAATGCAAAATGCATTTTTGGGCTTGTGGAAGAGGAGTTTAAACCTTAAATTGCAGGAGGAGGTCCCTTAGTTCATCAGAGCTGCCTGTGTCCGTGCTGCCGGAGAGCATGTGCCTCCTGGCCTCTTTCTGTTGTACGGATCTGCTTGATCCCGGCGAGTCTGGCTAGCGATGCAGCCTGCTTGGCTCTTATTAGACGGGGTGCAGTCGGTTGCTTTGTGTCTGAAGTCTGGAAGCGTAGCTGCAGCGGTGGTTGACGGGCCAGAGATGGAAGAGAGGAAACGCGTGAGCTGCTGCAGCCTGATCTAAAGAGACGGGGGCTATTCCTGGCTTCCTTCTTCCCTGCGGTCTAGGCATGGATGGGGGTCTGGACCACGTCTTCCTCGTGGGTTGCGTAGCTCGGGGCAGGTGTTTTGCTCCGGTTTGCCCTGGTCCCATCATTTAGGTGCGTTAGATCTGAAACTCTGGAAAGGACGGCGTGCGTGGCTCTGTCACAACCATGTGGAAGTAACCACGGAGCCGGAACGGGTGCCGCAGGGATCCCTGAGTATCCCCCGCGGGAGCAAGCTCTCGTTCACATGGAGCAGCTCCTCGGTGGGGATGCGAGGGCTTGCCTTTCCTTCCCCTCGCCCCAGGCTCATAGCTCCGTAGATTTAAGGAGGTGAGTGGCCACGGCTTTTTTGTCATCAGTTTTCTGACCGTGGATTAACGAATGCATTGTGAATTTTAAAGCCAAGTCATAAGCCTTGAGGGAAATGGGATATCTTTTTCCCTCCCAGGAGTTGTGCATAGGAGGAGCAGGGCAGGGAAGGAAAGGTGGGCGATAAAAGCCAGGCAATGACAAAAAAAGTCAGTCTTCTTGATTTAGGGGACGTCAGATGGATCGGGGGACATGGTATTAAAGCCATTTTAATCAAAATTTCCCCGCAACTTGGGTCAAAAGTGCAAGGCTGTAGGTGATGTGGTTCCACGTAGCCCCCAGAGCCGAGATCCACCGTGGCCATCACTGCTGGGCCATTGCACACTGGTTTAGTACCTTGGCCAGCACAGGGAGGAGGAGGAAGGACCTCTCTTGATGGGTCTTTGGCTCTTCTTTAGCTCATTGCCTCTCTAGTCGTTTCCTCCAGGACTTCATCGGATCGAGACTGGCATTTAACCTGGCAAGGCGCTATTAGAAGTAGAGCCGACCACAGCTGAGTAGAAAGAGCTGGGATGGCTGGAAAGTGTGAGGATTTATGACTCTAGTGTGATCGAAGTCCCAATCCTACAAGTCAGCAAGCAAATTGGCTGCTTTTTAGGTGGTTGTATTTTGTCTTGGTGAATAGGGAGGCAGATCACGATACGGTTGAGTGCGATAGTTGAACTGTAAGGCCACGCACGCCCCTTTTTGCTTGTTTTTGGTGGAGGAGCAAAGCCCAGAATAGTTCTTGTATTTCCCTCCTCCCCCAAATCTTTGGGGTTTTTTTTTTCCCCCCCCCTTTAATATGTTCTTTACATCAGAAATGTCAGGGCTGGATTTCCCTGTTTTTTGGGGGAGGATTGTGAAGCTAGTGAATGATGATCTTGCAAGAAAGAAGGCTGGACAAGTGAAGGGATTTTTACTCAGTGCACTAATTCTTGGTTTTCTCAATGCCATTTTTGACTCAAACGCCCGAGAAACACTTTGTGGGGGGGAAAAGCGCTCTTTGTGCAGAGTTCAACACGCCCGCCCCTTTGACTGCTGCCTGAACGAACTCCAGTCAAAACAGGGAAGGCAAGAAGTCTTCTGATATTCCTGTTATTGCTAAGTTTTTAAAAACAAGCCCAATAAGGGAAAAAAAAAAAAGAGAGAGCGCGCGCACTGAGACCATTTTTAAAAAATGCATCCTAGAGGGCACGAACGGAAAGAAAAATATTTTCCTGCTCACTTCATTTTAAAAGGGGATTACAATTTAATTTATCATTTGGCAGGCTTTCAGAAGGCAGAAAGAGTGGCCCACGGGGAACTTGAAAGCTAGACATCGGCGATGCAAACAGTATTCTTAGGTCTGGAGGAAACCAGGCCGCCTTATAGATCCCAAGTCATTTCTCCTGAATCGAGGCTGTGAATTATGCTTGCCAGCCCCGTTTTTCTTTTCTAAGCAAGAAGGATTCTCTGTTGATTCCTCTCGAACGGGTACAGCCAGGCGACACGCTCGGTAACCGGCTTCCCCTCGATTGACCGGCACAACGTGGTATCAGGGAGAGAGAGGGGCCAGTTCCTGCGAGCAAAATCTTCCCCCTAACCTCCAGCACACGCGCATGCACGATAGAGATAAAGGGCCAAAGCAGCCTGCTCTCATGTGTTGCAGCCCAAGCAGTCCGCTTTGCCCGATCAAGGAGACTTCTTGCCTGCATCCAGCTGACCCCGTAGGACCAAGCTAGGAATTTTTGGCCTGAGAAGAGAAAAGCAACCGCGGAAAGTTTTTACGCAGTGTCTTAGATGCACCACTCGACCGACTCCAAAGCAACCTGCTGAAAACATCCCCTTTAGTAACTGCCATTCTCTTCCCTCTCTCTCTCCCTACATCTGCGATTTATATTTCCTTAAACATTCAAATCTCATCGCTCTTAATTTCCCCTCTCTTCCCCCCTCTACTTCCATCTTGCCACCTGTCCCTTTTTTCTCTTTGTGTCTCTCTTTCCCCTCCTCGCCATGCTCTTTGCAATTCCCCTTCTGTAGACAAGAACTGTGTACCAATTACAAAGCTATTCCCATGCAGTCACAAAGTAATGGATTTCATCGTATGGGGGGGAAAAATCCCTGCACTAATAAACCTGGTGTTTGCAAGGGAGATAAATATGCCATTGCCATTGAAAACGGGTGGGAAATGCTGTCTCACTTCCTTGGGCTCCTTTGAAAATCTCAGCCTAAATTTTTCTTTTTCTCTCTCCCGTCCCTTACAAGTCTTTTAACAGTATCATTATTTTAATTTTACTGTACGGTATTGGATGTTATGCCCATCTCTTTGAACAAAGGTGATAGGAGGTGAGGAATGATGTCCCTGGATGCTTTATGACTATAAAAACAGTCTTGTGTCTGTGGCTTAAGCTTTCTTGCTCTGTTTGTTGGGTAGCTTTGTAACAGTAAGTGTTGTGGAGAGGACGGAGCAGGCTTACGGTGATAAAACCCATGCCGCTCTGTTTGCTAGAAAGGTGCCCCGTGTGTAACTTGATGCACTGGGGTTGAGGTTATGGACAGGTGCCCCCTGATGAGATATGTAATGGGTTTCCTGTCTTCTGCGCGCTAGATTCTAGCTCGGAGGAGGAGGAAGAGGAGGATGAAGAGGAAGAGGAGGAAGCAGAGGACTATGGGCTGGACGGCAACAACAGGCTTTCGTCCCCAGCCCTGGACGAGAGTGGTTTGGGACTGCTAGCAAGGTTTGCTGCCAGCGCGATGCCGAGCCCCATTGTTCCCCCTCCACTTTCCATTGTCCAGCTGGAGGCCAAGCAGAAGGCGAAGAAGAAGGAAGAACGGCAGAGCCTGATGGGTGAGTCCTGGGATCTGGGGTAGAGGATGGTGAGGACTATCTAGGACTAACAGGAGGACACGTTGTCCAGGGCTTTTTAGCCACCTCCCCACCTCATAGTCAAAGAAATATTGGCATAAGTTCTTGGTCAGTTCTGGCAGCTTCTGGAGAGGGAGCATAGACAGATCCTTCGCTCCCTGCTCCTCCAGTTTAGGCCTGACTCTGAAATGCCAGGTTGAGGCATCCACATGGAGAGCATCGTGCCTGGGGGGCTTGTAACAGGGTCACTTCCCATGGACAGTCTTGTGGTGGCCTCCAGCCTCTGAGTGGCGGCTGCTGGGGCACACTCGGGAGTCAGCCTCGGGTAGCTGGCAGAGCAAGTCTTCCCCCTCTGCAGATTTCCTCTGGCTTCCCTGTAAGGAAAGGGCTTCCCAGGGAGAGGCAGCTGGCAAGCCCCTCACCTTCCTGCTCAGCAGCGGGAAGCATCCATCAGGCCCAAAGGGTGTGTGAGATTGTCCTCCCTGCCATTATAAAGTTATTAGGAAGCGGTGTTAAATTCTGATCAGCAATTTGCACCTCTGTAGGGGAGGGCAAGGCAGAGGGAAGGGCAGCACTGGCAACCATGATGTAGAAGGAGGTGGTGATGGCAGGAGGCTCTTCTGGAGGCGACGAAGGTGCCTGATCCAAATTCCATTGAAGATGCTGGGAAACTCCCGTTGAGTCCAGTAGCTTTGGATCCACCCCCAGGCAGCCAGGCTCTGGTCTGGCTGTGGGTTTGTTAGTGCCTGCTGCCACATTGAGCTGTTAGCATGCTGCACTGCTAGCTGCTCAACTCCCAGCGCTACAGTAGGAAGCCTCTTGGGAGCGTATGGCAGGAGCAGGCTTCCCAGGCCCCAGCGTGGGGGGAGAGCAGGAAAGAGAAGAGGGAACGAGGAGCAGTACCCAAGCACCACTGCACTCTACTGCTGGTCCTTTCTGCTTCTTCCCATAGAGGCTCCTAGAGCAGACATCAAGAGAGCCAGTTGGGGTGCATCCCGCCAGGCAGAGGTGCCCTCCTCTTCTGTCCTTCCAACCCTCTGCTCTGCTAAAGGAGCACTGGTTACCTGGTTCTTAGTGCTTGCTAAGTGCTTTCAATCTGCAGTGAGCTTGCACTAAGGGTGCCCACATAGGGATCTGGGGCAGAGCAGCTTCCTGCGTGCTCACCTCCCTGCGGCCATGGGGCGTGCGACTGATCCAGAGCCATCATCCGATTAGAGCGGAGTTGGCCCTGCCTTGCTGTGCTCAGGTCTCTGTGCATCCGTCCCTCCCTGTCGGTCTGTCTCAGCCTCTCTCCCATCTTCCACAAATAGCTGCAGTTTCGCTTTTTTGCTCCCCACACACCTTCCTGCAAAAGGACCCCAGGGTGACATCTTTTTCAGGCAGGCAGATCCATAAAGGTTCCATTTATAAACCTTTATTAATATTTATTAAATGATAATGGAATTTATAGCATGCTTCAGAATGGGAAGTGATGCCTTCCCAGGGAGCCCCGCTTATGTTAACACCGTTTCCATGCTATATTAGGCTTTCGTTGGCTTGTTCCAACGGCCTCCGTTACGAATTTATCACGATTGCTTCTCATAACCATTAAAACCCCAAGCATCTAAAAATGGTCCAATGCCTATTAATAAAAATGGGAGCGTTAATATTGTTACAATGAAGGGAACCGTCCTGTCGAACGTTGCCTGCCTGTGTCTTGCGCTTGTCTGGAGCATGTCTCTGGGGGAGAGGGGCAGGAAATGTTGGATGGGGAGTCCTGCAAGTTGGATGGAGCTGGAGAAGAAAGGAGGGCGGGGAGGGGGTGTGGGTGTATGCGTGTGTGTAGAAGACAGAGAGATTGAGAGAAGCGCATAGTCTGATCCTACTTCCAGTCTTGGAACAATTCCTTTCACCTACTTGGATGCTGTAAAGCCAGGGTTATGCATTTTAAGGTCTCCCTCCTGCAGACCAAGGTTGCCACATGGGAGCTGGCTGGTAATAAGCCCAGAGAAGGCGGTGGTAAGCAGGTGTGGCAGGGTATGGCTTGTTTTAGGCACAGAAGCCAGGCAAGAATGCCCCTTGCCAGGCTCTCCGGGTCTGAAACCTCAGGCCCAGGCTGCTTTCATCATCCCCTGATCCCATCTCCTACACATGGAGCTCCAGGGTGTAGGTTATACACATGCAGACAGGATCCGATCACCCGTGTAAGAGGCAGGTGAGTGGGAAGCAGAGAGCTCTGTGACTGCAGCTCTTGGGTGGGATCGCCAGCCGGGAGGAATTGCAGGAATCTGGGGGCTCGTTTTCAGGTAGCATTGAAGTGCCCTTTCATGGGGGATAGGGAGGAAGGGTGGTTCTCAGTAGCCAGGGCTCTAGTTTGGGGCTGAGGAAACCTATATTGAAATTCTCTGCTCTGCCTTAGCCTTTCTGTGCCAGTTTGCTTAGTCTCTATGTGCCTCAGTTTCCCCTCTGCACAATGGTACTTGCACCATTGCCCTGCCTCCCTGGGTGGTTGTGAGACTACTTGGACACTGCAGTGCCAGGGGCTGTGTACAGATCCTAGATAGAGGCCGTCTCAGATGTGGGGTGTGGTATGGGAGGGGGCGGCGGGAGGGGATTTCCACTTGCCACATACAAGAGATCATTTTCCTCTCTCTACTCCATACCCGCACCAATGGAAAGGTCCTTCTGCTTCCTTTCACCAATCAGGAAACCTGGCCAGGAACCTGGGTTGATTCAATTAATGAAACCTGTCATCCTAATGAAGCACAGGCAGGTGTGGGTGGTGTGAGGAGCCCCAGGCATTAGGGAAGGGTGACCAGGCTGTAAGGGGCTTGTGTCTTATTCCAGCCACGCAACCCTTCCCGACCGAGCTCTCTAGCTTCATAGCGTGGGTTTCCCTGGAAGGCTTGGCTGTGACTGCGGGGATGAGGGGAGCGGGGAGGCTCCCCGGCAGAGGTGAGATGGGGAAGGGGGAAGACCTGGGATCTCTCTCTCGGGATCTCTCTCTTGGGAGGAATAAAGGGAGGGAGAAGGCATCGCTTCCGTCTTCCGGGGGGAATTTGCTTCTGCTTCGTGGGAGCGGGAGCAGAGCAGCAAAGGTCCAGGAGGAAGAGCTCAGCCCGGCTCTGGACGGCGGCTGTCGGTGGGTACCTGGCCATTTGGGCCGGGGAGCCCGACAGCTGGATGTGATGCTAGTAGCCACGTTGCAGGGTTGTATGCCTTAGGCTGCACAGACTGGTGTGGCTTCACCACCCCAGCCCATGACTTCCATGTCATGGGACAGCTCTTTGCACTGAGGTGCTTTCGGGTGGATTTTGTATTTTGGGGCTGTGATCTGCACGTCCCGTCTGACCTCGGAGCCAGAGGACTCCCAGCACCGACGCAGTGCCTGGGCTCACTGCTCAATCCCCTTGTGTTTAGGGACGGAGTTTGAATACACCGACTCGGAGAGTGAGATTAAGATCCGGAAGAAGTCTCCCTCAGGGCTGCTGCGTGGCAAGAAGGGGCTGATGGACCAGGGCAGCGCCGCACCCAGCCAGACGGCCAGCATCCTGGACCCCAGCTCTGGGAGCAGTGACAAGGTCAAGGTCGGGGTGGAGAAAGGGCGGAAGCTGAAGAAGTTCAAGTCGCCCAAGGACCTGAGCTTCGAGTTCGGGCTGGAGGTGAGCGATGATGACCTGTGGAACCGGCGCCGGAGCGAGCGCATCTTCCTCCACGATGCCAGCGCCTCATCCTCGGTGCTGACGCCAGCCACTCCAGCCAGCTCCACCCCTGTCTCCAAGCCTGCCCGCTGTGGGAAGGGGGCGCCTTTGAGTCCCAAGAAGGACGGGAGCAAAGGGAAGGAAAGGAAAGAACTGAACAAGGTAGGTGCGGTGCTGAGGCAGGGCCAAAAGCAGGCAGTGGGGGAGAGGGAGGGTGGGCTGCATTTCACTGCCCTTCATATCCAGGGCCTTGCAAGGGGGGTGGCCACCTCAGCAGCCCCTCGCTGTCTCAGTCTGCTCACCGCAGGCAGCCCCCGTCTTTATCCTCAGCCTCCCACCTGAAGGTGGGACTGGGCTCATTGCTCTTGCCTGACTCCACATTCATTGTTGTGAAGGGTCTGGGTGAAATCCTGCCCCCAGGGACATCAGTGAGGAAACTTTGGGCTTCAGGTGGGACAGGGTTGACCCCAAACTTTCTTCTGCCCCTTTATAAATATGGCAATCCCATCCCCAGCTGCTCCCCAACCAGCTTGCTGAAGCATCCGGCTCCTTTTGGCCTAGTCTCTGGTTACTGGGGAGATTGGATTATGGAAGAGTGTTGACAAGTTGTTGCGGCTCCAGGCCAGGCCGCCTCCTTTGCTGTCCCAGAGGCAGACTCCATCAGCAGGAGGTGCTGGCGGGGATAATTAAAAACTCTCCCTGGATCGTATCTCCTCAAACGTCAGTGCAGTGGTCCAGCAGGCTGCCTGCCCAAGTGCCGGTGTCCTGGTCTGAATACGAGCTGCTTTGCTACCCTTTCCCCTCCTTCTCTCTCGCCTGTGATGGCTGCTGAGCTTCACTGGCCAGATCTGTTTGCGAGGGGGGCTGCTCTTGTGTTTGCCTTTAGCAGAGGAAGAAGGGTAAAGACGGCCCGTGCTGCTCCTCCTCCTCTTCCATGTCTCCCCCTGGCATCCCCAGCTCCCCTTCCGACGTCCGGGTCAGCCTGGCCAACTCCCTGAGCTCCAACAAGAAGAGTAAAGCCAAGGTGAAAGCAAAGGAGGTGAAGAAAGAGGTGAGGGCTGAGGCCAGGCTGGAGCAAAGTTGAAGGGTCTCTGCTCCTTTCTCGCCCCACGGCACCATGAGAGGAGAGCACCCCCTGGCCACACACATGCCTCCCTTTTGGGAGCTGGGGTGTTCTCAGTACTGCGGTGACTCTTCTTGCTCATGGGTTAGGCCGACTTTGGGGGCCGCGCAGGCAAGGCCCTAGATTTATTTTTGGTTCTGGTTGAGAAGCTCGAAGACTCAAGTGAGCGTAGCACAACCTCAGCTGGGTGCCGTGCCCAGGCGGATGGAGGGCATTCAGGGGACTGTGAGGAGCCCGGGGCTGAATGGACTTGCAGGCTGACTTCCACATTGGCCTGGAGGAGAGGGACAGCTCTGGGATGTGAAGCAGGTGGCAGGCCATGACTGCCGGGGGGTGGGGGGTGAATGCAACTGCTGCCTCCTCCATGGAGTCCAGTTACCAGTTGAGAGACAAACCCTTCAGCTTCTGCCCAGGGCAGCCGGTGCCCCTGCGTGAGGTTTCCCTTACTATTCAGGCCATCCTGCAGCTGTCGGTGTCTGTTCTGATAGACCCCGGGCTTCATGTTTCTTCTAATGCTGAGAAAGAGCTTTTAGGGGTGTGGGACTGGAAGGGGCTTCTCAGGCCACTGGGTGCAGCCCCCCGGGTCTGCAGACAGCTGGTTGCTTGGGAATCCACCCCGGAAGAACTCCTTTGCTCTCAAAAGGCAGCAGTAGCCGTGGATGCCCCCGTAGCAGGGGCTGCTGACTCTGGTTAATGAGATGAGGATGAAGACGACCCCCTCGTAGTGTCCTGGGTTGCCGGGCTATTTACCCTGGGAGGTGCATGAGATAGCTGCTTGGGCTGGAGGGCTGTGGTGAGGGAGCATCCTCCACATCTCATGAGAGCTACTGAGAATGGGAAAACTATAGGGCTTTGCTGGGAGGGCCTTTAAACCTGTTCTGAAGCTTCAGGCTGAATAAAGAGATGGGGCTGAGGGGTCCTATGTGCTTCTTTGTTCCCTCCTCCAGAACCGAGGGAAGGGAGGAGCCGTCAGCAAGCTGATGGAGAGCATGGCTGCGGAAGAGGATTTCGAGCCCAATCAAGACAGCAGCTTCTCCGAGGACGAGAATCTCCCCCTGAGCATGCTCGTGGAGCGGCCGCCTACCCCGGGTAAGAGCAGGCGGGCTGGAAGCACCCTTGGACCACACATAGACCTGGGGAAAGCTGTGCTAATCTCCCAACAGAAAAGGCAGCCAGTGCCTCTGCCCTGTGCTTCCCAGTAAAGCAGCGCTAGTGGGGTTATTCACTTTTACCATTGGCTTGCAACATAGGCAGATAGAGGGAAGAAGTTCTCTGCGCTGGCTTAGTTGATCAGTGGAGATTGAAAGTAACCTCAGAGGAGTCCTCCCCAGGAGCTTTCACTCTGCTGATTTCTTTCATAGATTTCATAGACATTTGGGCTGGAAGGGACTTGGACGATCATCGAGTCCAGCCCCCTGCCCCAGGGGCAGGAAGTCAGCAGGGATCATAGGATCCCAGCAAGATGAACATCCAGATGTCTCTTGAAGGCGTTCAGAGTAGGTGCTTGAACCACCTCCGGCGGCAGGCTATTTCAAACCTTGGGGGTTTGGACAATAAAGAAGTTCTTCCTTATGTCCAGCCTGAAACAGTCATGGAGGAGTTTGTGACCGTTCAACCTTGTCATCCCTTGGGGCCCCTGATAAACTTATAGGCGGCCACCAGATCATCCCTGAGCCTGCGCTTTTCCAGTCTGAAGAGTCCCATAGCTCTCAGCCTCTCTTCATCAGGTCTGTTTTCCTGACCTCTGATCATGCGTGTGGCTCTCCTCTGCACTCTCTCAAGCTTCTCCACATCCTTTTTGAATTGTGGAGCCCAAAACTGGACGCAGTACTCCAGCTGTGGCCTCACCAAGGCCGAGTACAACAGGAGAATGACATCCTGGGATTTGCTTGAGAAGCATCTATGGATGCAAGCCAGCATTTTGCTCGCTTTACTAGCTGCAGCATCACATTGAAGGCTCATGTTCATCTTGTGGTCAATCATGACCCCCAAGTCCCTTTTGTCCGTAGTGCTAGCCAGCGTAGCACTGCCGAGCCCATAAGGATGCTGCAGGTTTTTCCTCCCAAGGTGGAGAACCTTGCATTTTTTGGTGTTAAACACCATCAGGTTCTCGGGCGCCCATTTCCTGAGCCTGTCCAGGTCATCCTGGATCACCCTCCTGTCCTCAGGTGTGGACGCTCTACCCCAGAGTTTGGTGTCGTCAGCGAACTTGGCCAGTCCGCTTCTGATACCAATGTCCACATCATTAATGAAGATGTTGAACAGTGTAGGCCCAAGGACAGAGCCTTGAGGGACCCCACTGGTCACAGCGCACCATGACGATTGGCTTCCGTCAGCCACCACCCTCTGGGTCCGACCATGGAGCCAATTGCCCAGCCAGTGGATCGTGGTGAGGCCAAGGCCGCAGTTAGCCAGTTTTGCTAAGAGGTGATCATGGGATACCAGATAGAAGCCTTTTTTAAAGTGAAGATATACAACATCAATCTCTTTTCCCTTGTCCAGGTGATAGGTCACCTGGTCGTAGAAGGAAATAAGATTGGTTAAGCAAGACCTACCCGCAACCTACCCATGCTGGCTATCCCTTTAAAGCACCACAACAGGTTTCTAGGAGAATTTTGTCTGATTTCTAGTGAAAGACTCATCTGTATTAAATGCCAGGTGTTGACTGGCTTATTAATGTCATCTCTAGGTGACCATAGTGCCTGGGAGCCAGCTGAAAATGGGGTCTCCTTGTGTTAGGGGCTCTACAAAGAGCCACAGGCCTTGTCCTAAAGAGCTTACTGTCTACATGAGGCCTCTGGGGCTCCTTCACAGGGGAGGGGATCTTGGTTTTTATCCCACTCCCATCTCCTCCATGGGATTGTTCTTCTTGGTGCTGAATTAATTCCTTCCCTGGCTCCATTTCAGCTCCCCGCTCCTGTATAATCGACAAAGATGAACTGAAAGACGGGCTGAGGGTCCTCATTCCCATGGATGACAAGCTGCTCTATGCCGGGCACGTGAAGACTGTGCACTCGCCTGACATGTGAGTAAGAGGGTGGCCTCATCGCACGGTACTGCCGGCTCATCCTTCACACCCAGTGGGGCCTGCTCCATGCTCTCTGGGGTTTGGGTTGTGATCCAGCCTGATGGATCCTGGAAAGACGCATTGTGTACATGGGTGGGAGCAATCTCTGCGTTTAGCCAGGAAAGGTGGAATCAACTCTAGTTTACTAGCGCGTTCCTCGAGTGGAGAAGAGGTATCTATACAAAGAGCAGCCTAAACTGGCCTCTGGGAATGATGCCGTGAAAAGTAATGGTGCCTGGAGAAGGATTGAGGAGCTGCAGCCTGGGGAAGGGTGATAGGGGCAGCATCTCTTCCTTGCTCTGCTTGTCTCGGCCTCTCCCATCCTCCTGAGGCGCTGGGTCTTGTGTTCCAGATACCGTGTGGTGGTGGAAGGGGAAAGAGGAAACCGTCCCCACATCTATTGTTTGGAGCAGCTTCTGCAGGAGGCAGTAAGTCTGGCTGCTGTACCCTGCTCGCGTGAGGATGTGACTTCCATGGTGGGGATGGCGTACTGAACAGAAATCTCACTGGTGGGAGGAGAAGGGGGCTTGAGCAGGTTCAAAGTGCACCCTGGGCTCATCTCTGGTGAGCCCTTTGTCTGGAGCAGGTGCTGGACTGAGCATTTTGTGCCTCACGGCAGGTGTAATTGCCTTCCTGGCTTCATGGGTGCAGGTTTCCTTTGGCAACAGCCCTGGCTGGCAATGGGCGAGGGAAACCACGCCAGCACCAAGGGCTTAACCCTCTTCTGCCAGGAACCATAGCCTTCATTGTATCAAGGGGAGGGACTTGAGCATCTGCTACAAGAGATTTCACTCCTTGTCTGGCTCTGAGGGGTTGAGGAGCTGCCTTTTTGAGTCTGGAGGGTGGGGTAGGTCAGCAGGGCCTGGCCCAGCCTGGAGCCCAGCCTAGCAAGGCCCTGGCAATGTCTGCTAGCTGGTTGTCTCCTGAAACATCAAATGTCCTAAAGGTGCCCAGGGAATAACTGACTTGGTCTTCCACCCCACGCAGATCATTGACGTGAAGCCCCCATCTGTGCGATTCCTCCCCGAAGGAACAAGGATTGCAGCCTACTGGAGCCAGCAGTACCGCTGCCTCTACCCGGGGACAGTCGTCAGAGGTGAGGGCATGCCAGCTCCCGCAGCAGGAGCATCTTAGCACACCACTGCCCCGTGGTCCGGTACCTGGCTTAGGGTGAGGTTTCCAAAGTGGTCAAATGGGATTCAGAGCCCAAATCCCAGTGAAACTCAACAACCAATTTCAAAAGCCCATACATTTCTAAGGAGCCAGGCCCCAGCTGACTTCCAGTGAGGCGTAGGTCCCTAAGTCACAGAGGTGCCTTTTGAAAACTTTGTCCTGGGTGCCTGAGTCCATTAGGCCTCTTTGAACACCCTGGTCTTAAGAGCAGGGCTGCCAAAAGAGACACTGGTGTGACTGTCAGGCATCGCCTGCTTCCCCTAACATAGTTTCGTGTCAAACGACGGTGAGAGTCGTGGCTGGGACCGCTCTTGGATTATAAATCACCCTTTTGGAAGAACTGAGCAGAGAGGAGAGTGAATGTCACTGTAAGACTGGAGAGGTTGATACGAGGAGAGGGGGGTGAAATGACTTTTTCTGGGAGGGAAGATGAAGAGGGGGCAGCCTGTGGTAGCAGAAGGCTGTTACAAATCCCTGGCCGGGAGCAAGGGACATGGGTGGCAACAGGGCACGTGCACGTGTGTGTAGCGGGCGGAGTGGGCTTTCATGTGGGCGGATGACTGGTGATTGTGGTGCAGACTTCTCACTTAAAGGACTTCCCCCCCGATGGAGAATACCCACCTCTTGTTTTGGGCTGCGGGAGAGGTTTTGCTCTTTGGCCCATGGCTCCCAGAGGCAGAGAGGCTGTCAGAGTGGCCAGGGCTTGAGGGGCCTGTGAGCCACAGCTGTAGACTTGCCTGAACAGCCGCACCGAGGCTTTCAGTCTCAGCCTCACTGGTGCTTTGGGAGGAATTGAGCTTTCGCTTGAGAGAGCTGTGGGGGAGAGAACCAGTCGTGATTCCTGCCCTCCAACCTCAACACAGCTTTCACGTCCCCTGCCTGTTTCCGCGCCTGCATCAGGCTGATTTCTGCCTCTGGTTCAACCCACCGTGTTTGGGCCTTACCCTTTTCCCAACCTCTTTCTCCCCAACCTGCAGGGGCCCTTGATCTGGAGGAAGATGGAGACCTGATAACGGTGGAGTTTGATGACGGGGACACTGGACGTATCCCCCTGTCCCACATTCGACTCCTCCCACCTGACTACAAGATCCAGTGTACGTAGGGGCTGTTAGATTGGGCTCTTTGCCCCGATACCTGCTCTTTTAGCCTGTGAGATCCTAATAGCCTCCTTTTCAGCTGCCTTTAAAGGGAGCTTTCCCACATGGGGACACTCAGGAGAAATATTATCTCCTCAGATTCTGTGGAGGATTCATCGCTTTTCTTTTTTCCCCTCAAGGGTTGTGCCATAGGTATTTATATGAGTCCCTGAACTGAGTTCCCAGGGTGGGCACATTGTAATGATAACCTATGTGGGGTTAGTCCCTGCCCGCCCAGTGATTTCTATATAACACATCGTGTGCCCTCCTCAGTGCCTGGGGGAGGATCTGGGGAGAGTAGCAGACTTTGATTTAATGGGTGCCAGTTCACGCCCCTCCGGGCCTGGCCTGTTCATGTTGGGTTGCCCAGCAGGAGCCCACCATCCTGAATTGCCGCTCACTGTCTTCCTGACGTGCCATTCCAGGTGCAGAGCCCTCCCCAGCCCTCCTGGTGCCCAGCACCAAGCGCCGCAGCCGTAAGTCCAGCAAGGATGCTGGGGAAGGGAAGGAGAGCGCTGCCCTGGGGTCAGAGGAGCCTGCGGCAAAGGGCAAAGGGCGTGGGAGGAAGCCGAATGTCAAGCCGAAAGCTGGTATGTTGATGCCAACCCCTTGACTGTCAGTGCTGGAGCAGAGCCTTCCCTGGAGGAGATGGTGGTTCCCTGTGTTAGTCCAGGGAGGGCTAGCCTGCACCCCCAGGTTATAGAGGCCGCCCATGATGTGGCTTTAGTGTTAGCCTCAGAGCTCACTAGCCTGTGGGATTTATTAAGCCCTAGGAAAGGGGCCTTCCAGGAGAGGGGAGGCCAAGGCTAAATGATAAAGGGAAGGTGGTGAAGGAACAGTACGGCGATCTCTGCTTCGGTCCCAAGCTGGGCGCAGGGAGTACCAAGAGCCAGTTGCATGCAGAGGGAGGCCGGGCTGTGGCCCGTGTACATCTCTCGGCCCACTCTGTTCCTCTGCAGATGTGGCCGCCCTGCCGGAAGAGGCCAGCCTGACAGAGTCTGCCTCCAGCGCTGCTTCTGCTCCCGAGAAGACAATCTGCCTCAGCAAGCAGACCGCGAAGGGGGCACGGAAGAGCCAACAGCTCCCGGCGGGAGGCTCCCCGGTGCCCTCTGAGGAGAAGCGAAACAAAGGCAGCAAAATGAAAATCTCCGCTAAGCTGCACGGCCCAGCCCAGCCTTCCTTCCAGCCACCTGTTTTTGGTGGCGTCATCAGCCCGGAGCCCTACAGCGAGCTGCCCGGGCCGCTGGGGACCTTCAGCCCTGCAGACACCCCCTCTGGAAAGGCCAAAGGCAAAAAGGGCCGGTCGGCCGAGGAGGGGCAGGAGTTTAGCTCCACAGCCAAGGCTCAGAGGAAGCAGCCAGACAGCGAGATCCTCATCAAGCTGGACCATGAGGGCGTGATGTCTCCTAAGACCAAGAAGATGAAGGAAGCCATGAGGATGCTGGAGGACTCGGGCCTGGCGAGCCGGAGGGATGGCAAGGGCGTGCTGAGCTTGGGCTACCCCTCGGCCATGAGTGGTGATGCCAAGCAGAAGTCCTCCCGCACCAAGGTGGCAGAGGGGGAGCCTTCGGCAGGCAACTTTGGGGGCTCTGGGGAAAGCCTGGCTGCCTCGAAGGATCAGGAAGACAAAGCCTCGCCTGCCGGGGCCAGGGAGGAGTCGGAAAGCAACAGCAGCGACAGTAGCTCAGAGTCGGAGGGTGAAGAGGAAGCAGAGAAGAACGGGGGTGAGGCCCAGGACAGCAGCTCGGCCAGCTCGCGGGCATCCACGCCGCTCTCCTCCTCTAACTCCTCCTCCTCCTCCAGCAGCAGCAGCAGTAGCTCCTCCTCCTCCTCATCATCATCATCCTCCTCCTCATCCTCCGCGTCCTCCACTTCATCCTCCTCCAGCTCCAGCTCCTCCTCCTCCACCACGGATGAGGACTCCTCATGCAGCTCGGACGAGGAGGCAGCCGAGGCCCAGCCCAGCTCCTCGGTCCAGCCCGCCCTCCCTCCAAAGCCAGCCAAGCAGGCTGGGAAGTCCCGCGCCTCTTCCCACCCGCCAGGCCAGAAGCAGCCGCCACCACCTCAGCAGCAGCAGAAGCAGCAGCAAAAGCAGCAGCAGGGCGGCAACAAGAGCAGACCCAAGAAGCGCGAGGGGATCCATCTGCCCACCACCAAGGAGCTGGCCAAGCGCCAGCGCCTGCCCTCCGTGGAGAACAGGCCCAAGATCGCGGCTTTCCTCCCTGCCCGCCAGCTCTGGAAGTGGTTCGGGAAGCCCACGCAGGTAAGCATTGCCCCGGGACCCCCGTTCCTTTCCTGCCTCGCCGTAGTGTGCTGTTGTGAGCGTTGGGCTGTCAGCACTTCAGAGCAGGGCAACAAAGGCACAGCCTTGTGCTAAGCGGGGGGTGACTGCTTCAGCTGTAATGCCCCCTGGGGCGAGCAGACCTCAGGGTACTGACATCCCTGGTATTCCTCCACTCCCTTGTCCCCAAAGGGATACGGGCACGACAGCCGTCGCTGTCATTCTCCTGATCAGGGGGAGTGCGATGGGCAAGGCCGGTTGGCCTCCAGCGATCCTCCCCCTGGAGAGGTGCCTTCTGGCTGCACTGCCCTAGAGGCTGGGGTGGCAGCGATCCTTAGGGGGTGCAGGTGGGGAGAGCAAGTAACCTGAACGTGCCGAGGGGATGTGCAAGGCTGATCTGGGTGTGTTGCTGGGCCGGTTTGGCAGAGACGAGGAATGAAGGGGAAGGCCAGGAAGCTGTTCTACAAGGCCATCGTCCGCGGCAAGGAGATCATCCGTATTGGAGACTGCGCGGTTTTCCTGTCGGCCGGCCGGCCCAACCTGCCCTACATTGGCCGGATCCAGAGCATGTGGGAGTCGTGGGGTAACAACATGGTCGTCCGGGTCAAATGGTTTTACCACCCAGAGGAGACCAACCCTGGGAAGAAGCTCAACGAAGGCAAGGTGCGTGTGCTGAGCTGGACAGGCTCCTTTCTCTCTTGCTGCAAGAGCAGCTTTTCCATTCATGTCAAAATACCAGCAAGTAAATTACTGTCTGCTTTTGGCCAGGACCCTGGCAAAGCGGGGTGTGGAGATGATGTGTTGTCCAGGCTGCTGGGGAGCAGGCATGCCCAGTTGCTCCATAAAGGCACTTGAGAGGGAGGGAGGGCATGTTATACTGCTTGGTAACAAAACCAAGCTGCCTGGGCCAAACTGGGTTGAGTCAGGGGTGCATACAACCAGGCAAGTAATTCCCACTGTCTTGTGTGTGAAGAGCAAGGTCAGGTCCCTGGTGGGTATCAAGGCCATCGGCCTGGCTTTCAGGGGTCCTGAGGGCCTGCAGCTCCCATTGACATCAAGGGGAGTTAGAGCTGCTCAGCCCCCCTGAAGATCAGGGCCTGTCTGTTCACCTCGGTGGCTCCAAATGGAAATGCTGGCTCGGGATACATGGTTTTTCGTGGTGATGGTGTGGAGCTGTCCTGAGTTATTCCTTTTCCCTTCTGTCCCTCCCTTTCTTCCCTGGCCAATGCATCCGACACAGCGCTGGGATCAGAAATCTGGCAGGAGCCTCTCCACGGCTTTGCAGGCATCCAACCAGAGGAAGGACTTCATGGAGGTAGGTGCGAGGTGCTTCTTCCTCCCAGGAGAAGGTTTGCAGGGGAGCCATTGACTTCTCTGCTCTTGGAAGCAGAGTAACAAAGACCGGGGAAGTAAAAGCACTCTGACCTTTCCTTGGCCACTTCTCTCCAGCAGTGGGCTCCAGCTACAAAGCCCCTGCACACCTAGGTTTTGGTGTGGCACAGGGTGAGGGAGCTGCACAGTTTGGTTTGTGTCCAAATGCCCCTGCAGTTCAGGGATGCCTGGAGCCAGCACAGTCCATCAGGCCTGTCTTTGCTTCCCTTCATTGCAGTGATGGCCCCAGCCAGATTTAGATGCTTGCAGAGAGGCTGAGACTTGGGAATTGGGCAGTGGGTTTGGTGGACAATGGGTGGAGCATCTGTGCAGGGGCTGCCCTCAACTGCAACCCCCCCAGTCCCCTTCCATATCCACTCATCCCCAGTATGTCGCCTGCTGGTCCCTCTCTGGCCCAGGGCTCTTGATCTGTGGTAAAGAAAACGTGTTAGGAAGTGTCCACTGATGACTGCTTTGCTGTCTGTCTCCCTTGCTCTCATCCAGCGAGCGCTGTACCAGTCCTCTCACGTGGATGAGAACGACGTCCAGACCATTTCTCACAAGTGTCTGGTGGTCGGACTGGACCAGTACGAGCAGATGCTAAAGACTAAGAAGTACCAAGACAGCGAGGATCTCTACTACCTAGCAGGGACGTATGAGCCCACCACAGGCATGATCTTCAACACAGACGGGGTCCCGGTCATCTGCTGACGGCCTAGGAAGAGAGGAGCGCCAGAGCCTGTGCCATCCAACTAGGGAGTCCCGGTGCCCCTTGAGGAGAGGGGCTGGGTGACCCTGGTGATGTGCCTGTTCAGACGACATGATTGTTTCCTTTAATGCTCACAACTTGTGCGTCACGCTATGGATGGGGCTTCACAGGGAGGAGAGAGTGCGAGTGAGCGGCATGAGCAGGGCGTGGGGGCAGCGAACGTAGGACTTTGGGAAGGTGCCTTCAGGACAGCAGGAGAGATCAGATGCTGCTGCTCTTCTGGGAGAACGGGGTGGCTTTAACTAAGGAAACCACTAGCTTCTTCCCTCCACCTCCACACCCTGGAGGGCTGACGGCGTCGTCATCATTTCACTGGCAGGATGACATCCCAAAAGGACGGCTTGGGGGCTTGCCTCCTTCAACGGGCCACCTTGCCTAGGAGGAGCTCTGCTAACAACCCCCCACCATGACATCTCCCTTCTTGCCGACTGCATGCAGCCTTGGGTTGAGGAAGAGGTGGAAGAGAAGGGCGAAGGGGCTCTGAGCACCTCAGCTCAAATGGGCAGGGGCACCTTTGATTGGTTTCCCTTCTTTTAAGGCCACTGGCCGCTGGCTGTGGAGGGCGACGGGGAGCAGGCAGTCACGTAGGGATGGAAGCAGGAGGCAGAGCTGCAGGCAGACATCTCTCCAGGGGGAGGAGGAGCCGGGGGGAAGAGGAGACGATTTCCAAAGCCGCATCATGGCGACCTTAGTGCACGCTGCACAGCTTGGCTGGAGTCAGTGATCCACGGAGAGTCTTCAAGGCGGGGGTAGGGTGGGGAATGGGATGGGCTCCAGTCTGAGGGGTGGAGAACAGCAGTGGAGATCTCCTTTTTGGAGATGCAGGAGAGGGAGGTTGAGCAGAGCAGTGAAGTTGGATGAGAGGGATAGAGGTCACCGCCCAGTGCTACTGCCGGCCCGGACAGGGCTGCTTGGATCTCCCACAGAACGGAGCACCCAAGTGTCGTCCCCCACCCCACCACCTACCAAGCAAGGAAGATCTCGCTCTCCGGTTCCCTGTGCAGGAGAGAGCAGCACCTACCTCGCCCAGCAACCTTGATGCAGGGGATGCAGTCTCTGTCCCTCCAGGGCCGAACAACCAGGTCACCGGAGAGCTTCAGGGACTGGAGCAAAGAATCGGCGCAGGTGGGGCCGCGCGGACGACCTCCTCGGAGGTCGCTGAGATCAGATGCAACGTCACCCTTTTCCAAGAACCCGGCTCTCTATCTCGTTGGCCGTCCCCAGCTTTGCCACCTGCCTTCGAGGCTGCTTCGGGGGAAGCTGGTTTTGGATTCTGGAGCACAGAGGGCCCTTGCTCCCAGATGGAGCGGGACGACACTATGGCGCTGCACCCTTGCACTTAACTGAGAACAAACACACGAGACGCACTGATCTTGGCAACGAACCGGATTCGTATGCGCTACATAGGTGTACGCACGCTAGTGGGACTGTTCCAGTCCAGGCTGGAGCAAGGCAGTGCTACTCAAGAGCTCCAGTGGGGAGGTACTTATGAGGACAGATTTTTCACTATCTGCCATGAGTACAAGAGACTTGCAACCTAGGGAAAGGGGAGAGAATCAAACCATAAAGTAACCCCTTCTACACAACAAGAACCACAACGGTGCTGGCTTCCAGCCACCTCTGCCCCAGACCACGGGCTCACCAAGACTTGGTGGATATTAATGTTTCTAAACTGTACAGTTTTAATGTACCAAAAGACTCTTTAGCCCGCCTGTATTATAAGTCTTTAAATGGATTCAACTTTTTAATTATAAATATAAATATAAATATATATATATAAATATAAACTTTTTAAAACTGTGAAAAAAAATGATGAAATTATAAAAAAGAAAGGAAAAAAAAGAAAGAAAGAAAAAAAAAAAAAAAGAAACCACCCCCCCGACACAGTCTGACGTTTAGAATATTATTTTTTATTTCCTGTTGGATTGTGATTGTAAATGAACCGGGAACAGATACACGCACCCACCCCCGTCCCCCTACACGCCAGTTGTACTGTACTTCGAGACGCAAACGGTGTGAGCAGATTTTAAAGAGAGAGAGAGAGATTGAGAGAGATTTTATGCTAATGTTAAATAGAAAGCACTTACTGCCCGATGCCTTCTATGGAACACAAGGATATTTCAGACAATCGAAAGGAAAGGAGAGCCAGGTTTTTTTTGTCTCTTATTTTTTGTTCGTTTGTTTCTGTTCTGTTTGTTTTTTGGTTTTTTTTTTGGCATTTCTGTTTGTTGGAGAATCCGTGTGATCTTTTTTCATAAAAAAAAAATCAATTGGAAAAAAAACCCAAAAGCCCCGGAACATGTTTGTTTGCCCTGGCGGGCGGGCTCTGGGCATGGCGTGGTTCGCCGGTCGCTTATGGGGTGGGGAGAAGGGCCCGCGGGTGGGTCGCTGGGCTGGGGAAGCTGTCCCGAAGCATGCGGGGAAATACAACTGCCCTGATGGCTTGCTTTGAACCTGTGTGCTGCCTGCTCCGTCCGCCTTTGCCTAGGGGAACGCTTCAAACCGGTTTCGCTCTTCCCTCCCCATTCAGTCAAATTGCCTCCATGCGTGCCTACATCCCCGGGGCCCGAGGGGAACCAAGTGTGTGCTTAACTCTGGGTGCAGCTTCCACCCCCTGCTCCCTTCTGCAGCATCGCTGTCCGCGGCCCAGCCGCACCCGCGAGAAGCCTGGGCAACAAGCAGGAAAAGCCTGGCTCAGCAAAGGGTCTCCATCCTTTCTGCTGACAACGGCGACTCCAATACACGCCGGGCCCCGGATCTGCTGAGCAAGGAGGCGTCACTTGTAGAGTCGCTTTTCCGTGGCTGTCAACAGGCGCCATGGGACCTATGGGTCCTGGCTGGCTGGAGGCAGGAGGGCGAGGGACAAGCGCAGGGCCTTGTACAGCTGGGGTTTGCTCGTGCTGCGCTGTCTTTGTGCCTGGCACTGGTCCCTGCCTCTGCGCCCACTCGCATGCTGGTCCCTTCACCTGGCGCTTGCCTGCCCCAAAGGCTGCCCTCGCTCCCTGGGGCGAAACCTGGTGCCGCTATTGCCCCTTTTGGCTCCTCAGGCTCTGCCTTTGGCACTCGCTTGCCACGGGGAGCTCTGTGGGAGTGGGGGAGGCAGCTGGAAGGTGCCTCTCTGTCTGCAAGGGCCAATGTCTCTGGCCTTTTGTCTTTGGCATCAGGGCCCCACATCAAGCAATGTCTTGTGGAAACCTGTGGCAAGAGTTTTGCTAAGGAGTCCTGCCTGGATCCCAGCCGTGACCCGCTTCAGGAGCAGCCCGGTAGCAACCTTTCCCTGGCATGATGGTATAGAGCAGGGGTCGGCAATGTTTTTGGACAGTGCGCCGAATACACCCGCAAACTCAGCTTGTAAGATGTTGGCGTGCCGGGGCGGATGGCGGGGGAGCTGCAAGGGGCCCGATCCTTGTGGCAATGCAGCCCCGGCCCTTTCCCTGCTGTCCGCCCCGAGGTGTGCGTGCCAAGAAAAATGCCTTCATGTGCCGCACTCTGGCACGCATGGCGGGGGTTGCTTACCCCTGCTATAAAAAGCTCGCTCAGCACCGAGATATGAGGGAGGCGCGTTGTCCCTGCACAGCTCCAGAGCAGGTCGCAGCGGCCTCAGAGCCTGGGGACCGGGGAAGGCTGACCTCCGTGGTCGCCTCCATGGGTCACGGAGCCATGTGCCCCCTTGTTCATGCTCCTGCGGCTGGCTACGAGCTTTCCTCTCCTGGCAGAGGGGCCACGGCAAGGAGTCCGTGGCCTGGGAAGCTTTACCCACGGCTCACCTGCCCTGACAGCTCCCTTGCAGGCCAGCAAAGGCGGGGTGGAGCCAACAAGCGCTGCCTGCCCGCGGTCAGCCGTGGGGCGCAGAGGCCATTAGGTGCTGCCAAGCTCCCGAGGCGCAGGAGAGGCAAGAGTGGCACACGCCAAGGGGCAGAGAGGGCATGGTCGTGGGCCTGTATTGGGAGAGGGTGGGTGGGCAACAGCGGGCTGCTCCTCCAGGGCAGAAGCAAAGGCCGAGGCCATGGGTGCAGTGCCTTTTAGCAGAACCGGAGCAAAGCCGGAACCGCAGCACAACAGCGGCAGGCGAGGCCTGGGGGGACCCCCTTGAGCTGCATGCTCTGGCCTCGCTTAGCCCAGTCAGCAGCCCGCAGCTCTCATGCCCCGCGGCTGCAAACACAAGTCCCTGGGATGGCGACTTGCTGCAACGCGGCCTTGCTCACTGCGCTGCCTTATTGCAGCAGGGCAGCCTGCACCGCCACCAAGCACAGGGTTGCCCTTTGCTGCACCCTTCCACCTGCTGCCAGGCCCTGCTGGCTGACGCGCTCGCGGCTGCTGCTCCAAGCCCCATTTCTGCACAGGGTTCGGAGCCAACCTGTGGTTGGGCGGCCACCGTTAGGGGCTGTACATCCTGCCCAGGTTATCAGCTGCAGGGCAGCGCGCCAGTGCCAGCGCGGTTCCCTTCTGGGGAGGGCTGGGCAAGGGGTTTGTTAGGAAGAGCAGTGGTGGCGGTGAGGGGCCGGGGGCCTTTCTGTCCCTGCCGCTGCTGCAAAGCTCTCGGGGCCCGGGGAGCGACAGCTGGGCTGTCCTGCAGCAGCTGGCACTTGGCTGGGTTTGACATGTCTCCCCGTGGCCCCCACAGGTTGTGGCATGGGGTTAGCAGGTGCACAGCAACCCCGGCTCTGCCGCGCGTCCTTCACTTGCAAAAAACCAGGCATGTTGGGGGTGATATGCTTTATTGGCCCAATGGCTTGGGTGGGATGGACTCAGACAAGCTTTCCCATGCGCTGCATTCATCTTTGGGCCCTTTAACTGCTTCTCCTGCTCCCCAGTTGGGTCTTCAGCTTCGCCCTCCCACAAGCGAGCGGGGTCTCCCAGGTCACAGCTGCACTTGAGGAGGATCAGCCCTGTGAACCTGGTCGTAGCCAAGCCTTGGCCTTAGAGCGGTGTCCCCTGCAGCCAGAGATGTCCAGGGAGATGTGCGTCCCGCGGACTCCCAGCTCCCTTGCAGTGTCCGGAGGCAGCTGTCCCAACCAGCACAGCATGGCCCGGGCCCTGTTGCAGCCCAGCTAATAAGTGGGCTGCACCATCCAGCTGGAAGCCTCAAGCCTCGCTGTGACAGGGCAGCCCTCCTCCCGTGGTGTTAAGGGTGACCCCCTGCTTTGCTGCCAGAGCCTGAGACCCGGGGAGTATAAGGGGACTTGTCTGGTGGAGCAGGGAGGGATCCCACAGCCACTTACCTGCCCTGCTAGACTAGACTAGACTCCCCCCAGCAGCACCCTCTGGGGATGGACGGCCTCTCAAAACGGCCTCGATTCAGTCCCTGTGCATGGCACCTGGCTCACCCCTTCCTTACTGCTTCTGGCAGGCAGTGCAGGCGAGGAGGGGGATGATGGATGCGCTTGTCTTCCCTTGCTAGTCCTTGCAAAGCCACATCCTTTTGGCAGCGTCTCTTTCCAAGGGCACAATTTCCAGTACCCGTTTGCCACTAACTTATACGCAGAGTATTCAATTGCCTCTGAACTGCGCAGACTTGCTCCGCAGCGCTCAGGAAGTCAAGCAAGCCTTGACTTGAAGAGGGATGTCCTGCTGTGTTTGCCCTGCCTGAAAAGGGACTTCATCTCCCCCCACAAGGCAGACGTGAGCTTCCTGGACTTGCAAGGGGCTGTTGGAGCAGGGTCAGCTGCAGCGGGCACCCAGAACCAAGCTCCCTCGGTGCCCGGGCCAGCGTGTCTGGAGCCGAGGTTGGGTCTGGGAATAGCTCTGAAGACAAGCTCGGTCCAAAACAAACTTCCTCCAAGCACTGAGCAGGTCTTCAGACAGCAGTGTTCCCAAGGCACGGCCAACAGAGGTCCAGGCTCCCTCAATAGGGCTCTCTCTTGCTGGCCCTTTTCTATCAGCATCTCCAGGATTGCTTTATCTCAAACACAGCTGCATCCTGCCTGGTTGTTTGAAGTGCCTGGCAAGTTTGTTAGTGATCCTGGCTCTGGTCCTGAGCCGCAGGGGGCCCAGTCACCAGCCGGCTGGCGGCGGGCACTGCTGTAGGATCCGGGGAGAAAGAGTTTCATGCCCATTAGACAAGGCAGATGGGAGGATGCCTGCTATTCTGGAGGGGGGAGCTCCATGGTGTGAGCACAGAGAGCTGGTAGAGGAGAGCACACAGGCTGCCCTGTATGGAGAAATGCTCCTGCAAATGAGGGATGAATGAGATGGCTCTGAAGATAAAGGCAATTGTCTATGCTGGCATTTAGGATTGCCCTCAACCAGCCAGGACCACATGAGCCACCTCTTCCCCACCTCTGTTGCCTGCTTCCCGGTCCTTGAGCACAGCTTTTCTGGGAATCTGGCTACCCGCGACTTCTCCCTCTTCGTGTGCTTGGTTTTCATCCCGACCCAGCAGCAGGAAGAGGCAGCAGGGCACCGAAGGGCTGGGAGTCGAGGGCAGGGAACCGTGGGATGGCTGTAGGAGGCCCTCCTATGGCAGTGATTTTCAACCAGGGTGCTGCAGCACCCCGGGGTGCCTTGAGATCCTTTCAAGGGTGCAAACGGAGGCTCTGCTTTGATCATCATGTGGCCATGCCAATAAAGCTCAAGCACTGCAGAGTTTGGAGACCCCCCCACCATGGAGCAACACAAGAATGGGGGGGGGTGCTCTCGTCAGCAACCCCTGTCAATCTCACAAGCAAGGCCAAGGAGGGAAGGAGTTAGAAGCCACCACTTGCCCATCACCTACAGCTAGTGCCCCAGGGCAGGGACAAGTCTCATGGCTGGACATGGCATGGCTGCAGATTTGCAGCTAGGCCAGGCTAAAGGGCCCCTTCGGTTTCCTGGGCTGCCCTTCCAGCATCATTTACCAGCCCTAAATGAATTTAGGTGCATCCTAAATTGTGTTCAGTGTTTATACTGAAAAAACTTGCATCACACTTACAGGCTCGGCAGCGCTACACTCACTAGCACCACGACCAAAAGAGACTTGGGGGGTCATGATTGCCCACAAAGTGAACAGGAGCCACCAATGCGATACCGCAGCTGCAAAGCAAACACCACCCGGGTTTGCATCTACCGATGCATCTCAAGCAAGAGTGAACAGGAGCCACCAATGCGATACCGCAGCTGCAAAGCGAACACCACCCGGGTTTGCATCTACCGATGCATCTCAAGCAAGACCCAGGAAGTCATCCTCCTGCTTTACTTGGCCCTGGTGAGGCCGTAGCTGGAGTACTGCATCCAGTGCTGGGCTCTGCACTTTAGAAAGGATGTGGAGAAGCTTGAGAGAGTCCGGAGGAGCCACGCACATGATCAGAGCACATGAGAACAGACCTTATGGGAAGAGGCTGAGCCATGGGACTCTTCAGCCTGGAGAAGCAAAGGCTCAGGAGGGATTTGGTGGCTGCCTATAAGTACATCAGGGGTGGGCATCAGGAGCTGGGAGAACGTCCGCTCACCAGAGCGCCCCAAGGAAGACAAGGTCTAACTGTTACAAACTCTAGGAAGACCGTTTCAGGCTGGACATAAGAAAAAAACTTCTTTACTGTCCAAGTCCCGAGCGTCTGGAACAGACTCCGCCCCCGAAGTGCAGGCACCTACTCTGGGCATTTTCAAGAAACATTTGGATGCCTAATTTGCTGGGATCATTTGACCCCAGCTGACTTCCTGCCCCTTGGGGCAGGGGGCTGGACTCGATGATCTTGCGAGGTCCCTTCCAGCCCTAACATCTATGAAATCTGAGCGCAATGGCTGTGGCTTTTTGCAGGCAACCAGGCCATTAAAGATAAACACTAACCCCTGGAAAACTACGTTCAAAAAGGTTTTGCTTTCCCCCAATGGGAGAAAAATGAGTCTATTGATTCTGCCATAAACAGCTTCTGCAGCCACTCCTGTATTTTTTTTAAAAAGGAACATGACAGCCTATAAAACATATTTAAAGTGTTATAAAATTAGCTACACTCCCATTTGAAGTAGAGGGGGGTGGGAGGTGATGGATCTCATCATTGTGCTGTACGATACGTTCTGCAGAGCATCAATTGGCCAATTAACGTAGCTTGGCTTTCTCTGTCGTTCTGCCTGTGCTAGGCTGGTCTGCACCATCTAGCTCTATCAAGCAGATGAAAGGACACAATATTTGCCACCCTGCAATTCAGAGCAGGAGGAAGGAGATGGGCAGAGCCGTGGGACCATCAAGAGTTCAGCGAGAATGGACCGGCCTCCCCAGTCAAGGAAACAGGTTCGGAATAACATGGTTTAAAAGCATGGGGGTAAACCAGCACTAGGGATCCTTCAAGATCTTCTTCTCAGCCCTTTGGGTTCATGTGTTCAAGCTCTCCCATGTGGGTGCCTGGAAACGCTCAGTGTTTTTAATTAAAAGGAAAACACTGAGTATTGTCAGATTTGCCCTGCAGCTCCTGGAAGGGGGATTTAAAGAAGAAAAGAAACCTACAGATGTAGACATGTTTCAGTTCTTCTTTGCAACTCCCCTGCCCGCTCCTTTCCTCTCCGCCCCCAAACCCACAACACACGTATTGCGGGTTCACACTGGCAACACGTTGTGTTAGCTCAGGGAGCTGTGCCAACAGGTACACGGCCAGGCAGTGCTGTCCCATGCCCCCTAACCAGACGCGGTACACACTACAAAGGTAGTGGCTGTGCCGACCCCGGGCTGCGCACCGAGGTGATGGGGTGGTGGTACACAGGGATGTTTTCAGAGGGTGCGTTTCCCCTCTGGTGCCTATAGGTTTGGGCTGAGGACCAGGACAAATGTCTGAGGTTGTCTTGGATGGATGAGCAGGGCTGATCTGCTGCATTCATCAAAACCACGTTCCTCTTCCTTTCCGGGCTGGGGTGGGGGGGACACAGAACCCCAAAACTACATCCAGGGAAGGTCTTTGCCGCTGTTCCCTCCAGGGATGGAGCAGAGGGCTGGCTTTCCTCCCCTCCTCAAGGGCAGGTGTACACATTGGCCAGACTCCTGGGTGCAAGGGTTCTCCAGGATTTACAGACCTGCCCTCAGTTGGCCGGTTGACCCATGTGCACGTTCTCCAGGTACCACCAGTGCAAAGCCCACCCAAGCCCAAGCGGGCCACCATGAGTGAAAGTAACCCGAAGGTGGACATGCCACTGTCTAGGGCCAACCTTATCCCTGGTTTAACACCACAGCGTTGAGTGGGGTTACACCAGGCACGTGCTAGCCCACTCCCCTCTAGTGCCCACCTGCCAGCTCTGTGAAGTTCTCACCTGCTATCCCATGCCCCCCGAGACCAAGGCAGGGTGCCGCCACTGGAGATGGAGCTAGGTCTAGACAGAGCTTGCTTCAGCACAGCCAGGGGCAGGCCCTAAATGTTGGGATCTGCGTGGCCCCCCACACCCTTCTGCACTGCTTTGGAGGCCAACTTCACTCCCAGCTTGAGGGGCTGCTTTCCAGGTTTGGTGTTTTCCCTTCCCTTCCTTTAACCTGGTGCAGATGCACATTGGGTTCTGCTCAAGAGGAGCCCATCACCATCTCAGACACCTGCAGGTCACTCCATCTTAGGGCATTAAGTGTTTCAGGGATCCCATTTCGAATGGGAACTGACTGATTAGACACAGGGCAGTTCATTCCCATTCCTCTCTCCTTCCCAGGCCAAGGATCTGCTGGTCCCTTCGCTCTCACGCCCATAAACCCGACCCACCAGTCACAGAGCTCGTGCGGCCCCCGCCACGTCGCCCGCTCAGTACCCTGCCGTGAAAGAGCTGTTGTAGGTTTGGGTGTGGAAGCAGGAACTGCGAGACGTGCTGGTGAGGGTATAGGCAAAGTAGGCAACGGCAGAGCCCAGAGTCAAGCCAGTCATGTAGGACACTGTCATGGTGTTGCCTGGGGGAGAAATCAGGATGTTAATGCTGTGCTCTGATTGCCCCGTGATCACCTTGCTACCAGCCCTGGGGTGCGGGGCAGAGATTCCCACCAGCTCTTGCTGCGATCCCTAACTCGCTCTTCAGAGCGTCAGATCCATGACCCTGGGCCAGGGCAGGTGCCAGTGCTGCCAGGCTGAGGTATACCTCGGGGGGCACCAATCACCCATTTGCACCCAGGAACAGGAAGGCGCAGGGCTCTGGGCCCACGGTGGGTTTGCTGGGATGGGGAGCAGGCCCCGAGACTGCCCTCCGGCTGTCCCCTGTAGGCTAAGGCAAGGCAGGACAAGCCCTGTGCAGACCTCCCATCCCTCAGCCAGGCCAAAGACCAAGCAGGGAGAGTGCCCCAGCACTGATGCTCGTGGAGCCAGGATTTCCCCCGGTGACCCAGTTTGATGCATGTGGCATTTCCCCCAGTTCCTGCTGTAGCTGAACGTCCCCGCTTCCCACCCTGCAGCTGTGCGTTTGGGAAACATCTGGGCCAAGCTGCTGCCTCCGGTGGCAGAGAGCTGTAGGCTTGTTTCTGGGGCAAAATACAGAGATCTGTGGCATGGGAGGACTTTCTGACCTGCTTACCCTGGCAGGAGGATGACCTGGGGGCAATCGGGTTACAGGGGGTGAAGCAGAGACAGAACATGGTGCCCAATACCGCTGGCAGCCACATGTGAGCCAGGCACGGACACACGTTGGTGCATGGCCACGACAAACCCCAGCTAGAAGCTCAGTGGGCAGGGGGGGTCCTAACGTGGAGCAGTGGTAGGGGTACAGCCTGGTGTCCCTCTAACCGTGGCAGCCACAAAGGGAACACTAGGTGGGACGACCGCAGCCCTGGCCTTGCCCGCCGGCTCTAGACACGTCCGCATGTGGTTCCCCTACCTGCCAGTTCTCGCTGTTCGGGGCCCACTTTGCCAGCAGCAAGGATCATGGGGACGCTGCCGAAGTACCCGTTGGTGATGCCCATGAGGAGGGAGAAGATGCAGGGCCACGCAGGGTGCCCAAAAGCCGGTTTCCCGTTAGGGTACACACACATGATGAAGAGAGGGATGAAAATCACTCTGAGGCAGGAGTAGATGAGGAGGTGGGTCCCTCTCCAGTCATAGGGCAGGGCAGCCAGGATCTGAAACAAGGAGGGGACATCACGCTGGAAGGCGAAGCAACTTGTGGAGCAAAATCCAGAGCGATAAGGGGCCAGGCCGTTGAGAAGGCCCAGTGAGACTGAGCGGTAGCAAAACCAGATTCCAGAACAGGAAAGCCACCGGAAACAAGGTTGCCACCACGAGACCTCAAGCAAACCAGACCTAGACAGTTCTCATCAGCAACCCAGCGCCATTCAGACCAGAACCGAGGTCCGCGGATGCACCGTGCCTGTAATATTGTGGCAGGGGAACAGACCAGCCTGTACGAACCCACTGGTTTTCTAATGGCCCAGGTGGGAGGAATGGATGGGAGGGGGCTGGAGCTCTCCCTGGCCATGGACTGAATCTTCTCTGTGGCGGGCAGAAGGGCCCTGAGCCCAGCCCTGGTCCTTAATAACCCGACGCCCCTGGTACGGCACCCCTCGGCCAGGAAGCCCAAGCACCCACTCCAGTCGAGGCTACCCCTACCTTGCCTACGAAGTCGGAGAGGTTGAAGATAGCCATGATTAAGATGGGGAGCCACTCCCCGAGAGTGCAGTTGCGGATCTCCGACTCCAGCCCAGGAAAGAGGCACAGCGTGATGAAGTAGGTCATGGCTATGGAGAGCATGTAGGCCCAGATCACCCTGAACACGACGTAGCGGTGGAGCATCATGTCTGGAGGAGGACACCAAAGCCGCCTGTCAGGTCTGTTATGAAACCTAGGTGCTTAGGAAAGGGAAGGAGCATGCTTCACAGGCTGAGCCGGTGACGGCTGCCCTGAGCTCCCGCAGGTCAGGGCTGCGACAATCCAGCTCGGGTGCAGCAACTCCACGGAGCCGGCTTCCATGACGGGGATGCCCAGCCTGTCTCGGTCCGAGCGTGCACCCTCACGAAGCAATTCTGCTTTCCTTTGTACGGTTGTCCTCGAGACCACCAGAAAGCAGGGAAGGGGGACAGGGTCTTACCTGAACCTGCTCTCTGTGCTCAAGTGCAGATGCTACTGTGGGGCTGCTGCCACTAGGGATGGTGCCATCCCTGGTGCCCCTTTCACTGCCTGCCCTGCCCAGATAAGATACTGTGATGGCAAAGACTCCCAGGGGCACCAACCCACTCCCCTCCCTGTCCCCTAGATACTCTATCAGGTAAGGGGGCTCTGACGGCCAGCAGTGCCGGGCTATTCCTATCACAGCAAAGATTTTCGGGGTGGAGGGGGGCAGATTCTGGCACCCCCTCTAAGATGGCACCCAAGGCTGTGTCCTGCTTGCCTCCTGCCCCAAGTTACACCACTGCATACAGGCACTGCCCCACCCTTGCTGTGAGATGGCACAGTGGGATGTCATGTCCTTCCCCCACCTTGGGCTACATGTTCCTTTCCCTCCTGTTGTACCACATGAGGAGCATTGTGTGGCTCCTATGTCCCACCCCAGAGGCAGCTGCATGTCTGCGTCTAGTGTGGGGATGAAAGGGCTACCATCCTAGCATGGACATACAGGTCATGGGGGCACACAGAAGTGTCCTACCTCTGAAGCTGGGCCAGGTCCTTTTGATTTTTGGTCGTGGGACATCAAACCTCATGTAGGTCCCACTGCCGGCCAGCTCGGTTTCGTGCCCCAGGCTGCCTGTCGGGGAGCCGGCCAGCCCACGAGGCCGGTTCTCCTGGGGAAAGCAATGGAGAGGAGCGGGGGGCTCTGAGGGGTTTGCCAAAGGCGACTTCAAGGGTGGGGAGTCCTGGGGAACTGCTCCACTTCTCCCTCAGGCCACAGAAGCAAATCAGGGGTGGCAAAGAGAGGAAGCAGACAAGAAGCCGGACTAGCTACACGCGTGGTAGGACACCCTTAATGCACAGACCTACGTACTGCACCGTGGCTGCTCTCTGCACCCAGGCACCGGCAGAGGGCACCACACACCTCCTCGAAGAGGGATTCTCCCCCATTTTCCCCTGCAATGTGTGGCAGGTCTTGCAGACCATCTCCCCTCCCAGTAATGTCTGCGCAGCCCCGCAGCCATGAGACGGCATCCTCAATCGCATAGCACATCCCCTAGGCCCATTGTCGACTGTTGTATGTCGCTGTGGCCCCCTCAGCATTTCCATGCATAGGACGGTAAAGTCAGGAGGATCTCTAGGGTGCTGGTAATGGTCTTCCACGTAATGCCCCAGCCCTGGCCATTGGGCAGACCACCATAAAGCGCCGCTCCAGCCGGCGTCTAGAAGCTGCAGCCTGGAAGCTGTTGCATCTGCAGGAGCCTGGCCACGTTACTAGTGAGGGGCTTCCCAGACCCTCAAAAGTCACTCCCACTCCAGTCCTCCACGGGGAGCCCACCCAATCCCAGAATGCCCGGGCCACTTCAGAGGGGACTTTTCATTTCTCCCAGCTTGTCTCACTTCCTCCAGCTGCAGAAACCCCCAGGGATCAAAATGCCCCGGGCCCCCGCCCACGTCCCAGAGGCAGGGCAACTCACAAATCGGACGTCCTCCGTGGTGACATCGTGGTGCACCCTGTATCCAGTCCCCCGGTCCGGCACTCCTTTGCCGCCGGGGCCCCGCTCTCGGGAGCAGGCTGTGTAGTACCTGACAAAGCGCGTGCGCTTCACCAGCAAGTGGAGGATGAAGCACATGAGCTCCATGCCGATGGAGATGAAGAAGAAGATGATGGTGTTCTCCTTCTCATCCGACAGCAGGAGCTTGGTGAAGATGCGGCTCAGGGAGATGATGACCCCAGCGGTGCCTGAACAGAAAAGAGCAAATTCAGCGACGGCACTTTTGGGGTCTCATTCATTCAACACCTTGCCTTTGGGGGCTCAAGCAACAGAAACAATCCTGTTGGCAGGTAGCACATTAAAGCTGGCACTCACGCGGGCTCCTGTTTGGATGGGTGCCCATGCCCACTCACTTGCCAGCAGGCCCCTGGGCTGGCGTGCACCAGGGGATGAGGACGGATCAGCTGTGACCCAAGACCTGTGTGGCAGGAGCCAACTTCCAACAGGAAATCTCACTCCCCAGCAGCAGATGAGCTGCTCCATGGGAGAGGGAGGCGAGACCCATTCCCCCCTCGCCTTGTTCTCTTGGAAGTTACTGGAGAAGAGCCAGGCCACCGTACCTGCATGTCAGGAGGTGTCACACACCCATGTGACCATCCCTTGCTCACACCAGCACCCTGGCCAATGCTTTATTACACACTCCCAGGCTGCAAACAGGCCTGGCAATGGGAAGCTGGCCGGGGCACTGGGCGCTGCTCCCTGTAGCAGCTCCCCAGAGGGGTGGTGGGGAGGCCATTCTTTCTTGCCCACGTGCCCGCTGCAATCATGTCATTCTCTCTGCCTGGCAGGGGCCCAGCTAGCCACCAGCTGGCCCTCGACAGAGGCTGCACCAGCCAAGGGCCAAGCAGTGTGCCAGCTGGGGTGCTAGGCAGTTTTAACAGCAGCAGCTCACCAGCTGTCACCACTTAATGCATCTGCCAGTGGTAGTAGGAAGCATGCCCGCTGTTTGCCAGCAACTGTCCCAACCAAGGGGCCTGGGCCCAGCAGGATGAAAAGCCATTATCCCGGCCAATGACTGTTGGCTCTACCAGCAAGAGATGAATGCACGTGATCCTGTGGTTCCCATGGAGGGAGCAGCCTGCCAGGCTGGGACAGCCCCAGGACTGGGGCTTTAGTGCCTGGGACAATGTTCCTTTGACAGCCCCATCTCGCAGCAGCATCTTTCCTAAGGCTTTGACTGATGAAGGGACGTTTGCAACTGGCTTCTGGGTCAAGCTATGGGTCCTTATGACACATGAGCATACACAGGGAACAGGCTGGCTAAAGAAAGCGCTAACCAGCGGCTGGCTCACGAGCATTACCCTAGCCCACCAAGCCCGCAGGCCGTGAGAATCTAGGTTAGCAGGATACTCACTCTCACCAGTCATCACCCCCTGAGTGTAGCGCTTGGGCAACATCCCGGTGTAGCCATAGAAACTGGATTGCTGCACTTCAAGGGAGAGGCACATGGAAGAGAGAAAGGAGAGGAGTCGTTATTCCCCACCCACAGTTTAGCTGGGATGCATCCCAGATACCCTGCTACGAGTTCTGCCTCGGGCGACTGTCAGTGCCATGCCGCAAACCATTCAGCCCGGTGCTGAGTTTCCCATTCGGAAAAGCAGTCGGGCTGCTCCGGGAGCACAGAGAAAGCAGAGGCTGGACTCCAAGCCCACGGAGGGATGCCAGCAGGTGCAAGCGCTTTCTGGACCGGAGCTGTAAGATGGGGTAGAAAGCTGCCAGCCTGCCTCCTGGAAGCACCCAGCCCTTCCAAGACCACGTCACAGGAAGCAGCCTTCCCAGGTACTGAAAGCCAAGACTACCAGGGTGTTGGGGCGGGCGTTGTAAATGGGATGACCATGCAAAACACAAGGCCTGAGCCCATCTGCCTACCGACGTGAAGAGAGGAGCAAGCACTTTGCACGCTGGAGTGTTGAAACAGCATCATAAAGAAATCATAAAAAGGGCCGTAAACACACCTGGGGTCGTTAGTCCTAATTAGCTGCCAACGGCCAGGCTTTTACAGCATGAAATATCATGGGAGAACAGAAAGCACCCAGGTGGGGACGGCCTCGAGGCTGACACATCCCGCTGCCCAGCAGCTGGAACAGCCCTTGGAACGGCCCAACCGGGTCGTGGGGGAAAAGATTTTGGCTAACGCCACGGCCGCAGGCACGGTGATGAAGTATTTCAGAAACGAACCAGAAATGCAGCAGCTGGACTAGCAGGCGGTGATCGAGCAAGATCATAAACGTGTCTCCTATGCCCTGGAAGCGGCGCTTCACACGGCCCAGCCTGGAAGGAGAGTGGAAGCCCTCTCCCACCCACCCACTTACCCACCCACGCTCTCCTCCGGCAGCTCCACGGGCCGGTTCACGTGCACCCTGCTCCACCTTGCTGCCTCCCAAAGGATGGGCCAGCTGGCTTGCAAGGCACGGAGCAGCAGCAAAGCTGATTCACGCCAGCGGGAGACTTGGCCCTGCTGACTTCAGCTGATATGGGGCAGTCTGAGGTGGGCTGGAGGGCCCTGCAAGCCAGGGGTGCAGAATGCATTATTTGGAGTTCAGGGAGAAACTGAGAACATGTCGCCATGCAGAAATGCAAGCGTTTTATGCAGATTTATGCAGATGCAAGTAATTTTACCCCGAAATCATGTGGTTTTATGCTAATCAGCATTCCATCGGCTTTGGGTGGCAGGTGCACGTGATGCTTCGAGCACAATGCTCAAGGAGATGATGGGAGATTGGGGTGGGGGAGGCGGTGACTGAACCAACTGGCTTCAGCAAACTGACAAGAAACAGTTGCTCACAGCCATGGTAACCAGCCACGAGCGAGAAGGACCAAAACCAAGGCAGACCTGCCCAGCTGTTTGCCCACAGCTGTGAGCGCCCTCACCTGCCCTAAGCCAGCCTCCACATACCTGTGCAGCCGAAGGCCACCACCCCGACTGCGATGAGGTTAATGGCATACGCCTGCTGGCGGGTGAAGAGCTCCAGCCAGACGTCACATATGCTGACGAAGAGAAGGGGACCCAGGGCGAACAGGTACCCTGCAACGAAAGAGCCAGACATGGGGGTGAGGCAGGAGTAGAGCCGTAAGCCAGCCCGGGGCCTGGAGCAGCACATGGGTGCGATGAGTTCAGCAGTCTCATGCTGGGCCCTGCATCATATGAATCCCTCTTAATGGATGAGTTTCTAGGCAACCAGGTGCCTGGGGTGTCCAAATGTTTATATGATGGTATTTCTGGGTGACCTGAGTGGTAGGTCCGACTGACTGCATGGCTAGTAGCCTGGGTGGTGCAGGTATCTGGACATGTATTGAAGTGATGGGGTAGCTGGTTGCTTCCACTGATGGCTGCTTGGGTGAACATACACCTTTCCCTGACAGCTTGAGTGATACAGTGGGAAGTTGGGGGCCAAAGAAGGGCAATGCCAGCTCTCTGCAGCTCAGTCAGTGGAGCAGCCAGGGGGGAAAAGTCTGGTTCCTCTCCTGCACGAGCTAGCCTGACATGTTGCCCCAACAGGAGGTGAAAATAGCCAAAGCAGTACCGGAGCCCCGTGGGAGTGGGAGGAAAGCAAGGGCCCCGACTTACCCACGGAGATCCGGGTGTGCAGACTCAGCATCTCCACCAGGGCGTTGTTCAGGATGACTGCAACCAAGGCTACCAGGATGTAGGTGAGGCTCATGTCAAACACGATGGATGTTCCTGCAGAGCCACATGGGAAGAGAGGCTGGTTGCAAGGCTCGAAGAGCAGAGCCAGGTAGGATGCTCTGCTTTCAAGGGCTCGCTCCAGGCTAGCGCTACACGTGATTCTGTCTCATCAGTGGGGCAACCAGCATCGGGGCCTGGGGCTGCTCTGCCTCTTCCCCAACACGCTCATCAGGGTCGGACTCGATGACCCACTAAGGTCTCTTCTGACCCTAACATCTATGAATCTAGCACCCGGGTATGAAGGCTGCTGTTGTTCGGGCGGCTCAGTTGCAGCCTCTAGTGGTTCAAGGCCGCATTGGTTAGGGACAGCCAGGAACGAGAAACCCTGCCCAGTTCTGGGGGAGCGGTAGAAGGATGTGGGAAGATGCAGTATGCGAAAGCATGCTTGGAGGACCCCTCACACCAGCTAAAGTACAGATGCAGCCACCTGTAACCACACCACGTACCCCAGGGCACAAACAAGGGGGCTTCACTGTCTGCATTTGCATGAGCAGTCTGGCTGTTAGACGTCTAAGCTGTCACCTGTACCTACAACTCTGTCCCCTCATCTTGGTGCCCTGCAGAGTGGGAGGCTATGACAAGTCCCATGTCAAAACCAGTCCTGAACACTCGGAGAATACAGCGGCTGACACGCGTACGCTATGACAGCCACCGCCTATGCCGTGTCCTGGGTCCCTGCAGCTGGGCACAGCCATGTTTGTGGCTGGCCTTTGCTATCAGGAATCCTGGCTGCTCGCTTTCAAAGCCCACCTAACGCGGTGCTTTACACACACATCTTGAATAGGCGTCCTGTCCAGGCGGATCTCCCTCCGCTTGTCAAACCAGCCATCTCCCACCCATGAGGGCTTCGAAGCTGTTACACCAACACCCTGCGTGACATGGAGGGAGCACAGACCAGACAACTGCAAAGCCCCATTGCTCCAATGGACGTACCTGGGTATTTATGATGCAGGTAGTCCACGTCAGTGATAAAGCTGTTATAGGGCAGGAGGAAGCCCACTCCTGCCAGCAGCATGGCAAAGTAAATTCCATGGTATTGGTCCTGCGGCTCAGGGTCCTCAGAAGCTGTACCCCAAAGTGAGACAGAAGGAGCAGGTGACAGTGATGCCAAGGGCCTGACCCACGGTTGTGCAGACAGGCTAGGCAGTGTATCAAGAGCAGGGGCTACTGCCCACCCCTGTGAAGTACAGGATAGCTAGCACATGGTGAGACATGTGAGATGAGGGCAGAATGATCACCAGGCTGGTGCCTGGCTGGGATGCAGGATGAGCCTGTTGGACAATACAGGTGGGCAACATGGACCGGAGCTAAGAGGAGTCCGAGGGTCTGCCTGTCTTCTGCAGCCTCTTGTAGACAAGAGAGAGGCGAGGATCTCTTGCACAGTCGCTGCATGTGAGTCTTCCCCACTAGGAGGAAAGACACTATCCATCTAGCTCTGCATGCCGTACTCTCAGGAGCTGCCCCCAAAGCCACCATCCATCTAGCCTGGGATCTCAGCTTCCATAACCCGTGCTAGAGGAACGTGCATGAAACCGATTTTGCAGACAATGACACAACATGCTGTTGTGAAGGGATTATCTTCCCAAACCCTCTCAGGTATGTATCTATGACAGTGGTTTTCAATCTTCTTTCATCTGTGAACCCCTAAAGAACGTCAAATGGAGGTGCGGACCCCTTTGAATTGTATGTGTGGGCATTCACATACTTTCGACTGATCCTAGTCATCTTTCGCAGACCCCTTTAGACATATTCTGCAGACCCCCAGGGGTTTGTGGGCCACCGGTTGAAAACCGCTGATCTACGAACACACACCTCTCTCTTTCAGAAAGAGAACGAAGAGGGACATTCTTCTATGACTTCATTTTGTTCTTTTTTTACTTATCCACTTGTTTTATTTAATTCTGTGATTATTTATTTTTCATGAATGCACCCTGTACAAAGAGAGGTTATGGATTTCCTCAGCAGATTCAGTCTTTCCCATACCGCTGATCCTGGCTCAGCAACAATCCTGCTACACATGAACCCCCCAAAAAGGCACCGTCTCTGGTGCCATTGCAGCTGGGCTGTACGCACAGCGAGACGCCTCAAAAAACTGCAGCTGCTGTATTATATCTTAGCCCTTGCCAGAAGGCTGCCCACTGGCGAGCGCCCTACATCACCGTGAAGTTAAGCAGCCCTCAGACCCCAGCCTCTCATTACATGGCCCTGAAAGCGCGGAGGATTAAACCCTAAATGCAGGCCCCATATTAAACGCTGTAAATGCTGGTATTAACGTTCGGTGATATTAGAGCACACAACAGAAGGTTTCCACAATGCACTGAGCACTGGGCGTACCAACAGCGCTCTATAAATAATAAGCGCCCCCAGCCTGGATAAATTCCATCCCACAAATGGAGGCATTTCAACAGCAACCTGGGAGGCACAAAAATACCAGGCTTTGATGTCCAAAGTATTACAATAACCCGGCATGTAACAACAAAGCACCCACTTCTACTTGATGTTCGAGAGCGATTCAGTGGAGGTACGGGCCTACTATTAATTATGCAGACTTAGGGCCAGTGGCCCAGCTAGTGTAAACCCCCTGAATGTCCTGATTTACATCAGTTGAGGCTCCGGCAGCCACTCAAATGAACCAGGCTGCGAGATGCGTGTAACAGACTCTCCTACGGGATCTTGGTGGCCAGGTGAGTGATTGCTCTTTAATTGCTTTCCAGTCATCTGGGAACACCGCATAGTTACGATGAGTCTGGTGCCGTACGGGGAAGATCCCGTGGATCAGCACAGGGAAGCAGTGATGCGTGTGCACTGCAAATACAGCACCAGTGTGCAAACACTGCAAATGCCAAGGCCCCCCAGAAAAGCTCCTCACTGCAGGCAGTGGGGGAAACAGAGCCCAGGCAGGGGGGATGCCTCCCTCTGCCTGCTGCAGGCATGGGGTGGGGGGAGCGTCTGGGCCCAGCGATGGCACAGACTGGCACATGGGCAGCAGGCTGTTCTTTCACTGCTTCCCCCCATCCCCATCACCCCTCGTTCCCTCCTTCACACCCTGGGAGGCAAGTCAGCCTCCCGCCATGCTCTCACCTGGCTCCATGAAGGTAAGGACCCCCTTTGCCTGGTTCCCCTTTGCCTGGAGCTCTTCCTCCTCCAACTGGTAGCTGTCGAAGCTGAAGCTCATCACCACGTTCCCCTCCGGGGTCACCACAGGGCTGAGATCCTTGAAGCGATCCGCTCCAACAGAGCCCATAGCTGCTGACCTAGACTGAGAAAGGACAGCAACAGGCTCTTAGTCCAGCTAGATGGACAACCCATCCCACTCATGTTCCCTGGGGGGTTGGGGATGGGGGGCTTCTGGGGTTTACTGTCCCCAAAGCCTGGGGAGGCAGAAAGTTCCTGTCCCTCTCAGATGTCCCCTGTGCTCGTTGCAGCCAGGCCGTCACAGCAGGACCCCGGCACGACTCAGGCCATGGTTCTGTTCACGGGGACCTCAAACCAGGCACACGCCACCTTGCACTTGCTGCACGCATCTGTGCCTCCCACAGGCTCCATGGGAGGGGGTCCAGACTTTGTGCCTGACAGCCATCCCCCGGTTCAGGCACTGCCACCTCTGCCTGACAGCACTCAACAGTGTTAGCAAGTTCAAGAGCAGAGACAGCAGTGCCGTGCCGGGGTCCCTAGAGAGCTTGCCCCAGGTTCCTGTGCGGCTAGGTGATGGGGTGGGAGCAAGGATCATCACCGCATGTGACAAGCCCTCCCTTAAAGCCTCCGAGCCTGCTTAGTCGGCCAGACAGGCTGTAGCAGCTCAGCGAGGCTTTCACGCTGACAGCCCGGCTTCTCCCACCGCGCGCTGGGTGTCAGGGTGACAACAACAGCCGCCGTCAGGGGCTTGCGGTGGTGCTGGGGCTTTATTCACATCCTCACACACCCGCTTTGCAGCAGCCTGTCACATGCTCCAGTGCCTGCAAACAAACCAGAGCCAGATTCCCTCCTTCTCCTTCTCTCCTTTGAAATAACCGGTGGCACGAGAGAGCCCAGATCACCGAGCAAAACAGGCCGGGCTTTGATTTTGTATCATGCAGGCAGCAGAGCTGAGGAGGGCCAGGCCGTGGGGGGAACACCGTGCCAGTCACCAACTGATGGGAGGTGTGAGGCTGGAGTCGGAGCAAGTCTAGTCCTGGCTCTGCTACTGACTCACTGTCTCCACTTGGGAAAGTTCGTTAACCCCAATGCCTCAGTTTACCTTCTGTGTCAAGGTTGGGGAAGTCAGAGCCGTCTTCCTGCAAAGCTCCCGGGACCACAGAGTGGAGGAGCTTGGGGTAGGAGTGGACAGGATGGTGACTTCTAACTCCCTCTGCCACATGCACTGCACAGCTGGTCCCCTCTGCGGTGGGAAGAGCAGGGAGAGCCAGAGATCCTGGTGATGCTCAGGCCCCAGAGCGACAGGGCATCGTCATACACACCAGCGCAAGGTGAGGGCACACTGGGCATGAAACACCACCTTCCTGATCCGGCACCGTGCACAAGCCTGATTCTCCTCAGAGCTGGGAGAGTCTCTGCGGGAATGGGAGGAGCAGGGAAAGGCTGCACCATGTCACACACCCCTCACAGAGCACCTCGGGGCCAGGTCAGAGCATGGCTCCAGCCTGCCAGTATCCCATGCCGGAGCCCCGGCCCAGAACACTGCCATCCCCCGGGGCTGCACCCAATGCCTCCCTCTGCTATAGCACACAGGAGGAGAAAAGAAGGGACCTCAGGAGGTCATCTAGCGCAGCCCCCTGCTCAAAGCAAGACCAGCTCCAGCTGCATCGGTGCCTCTTTTTCCCCGAGAGGAGCCTCCTGACCTCTCTGCTCCAGGACACAGCTTCTGGCAATCACTTCAGTCCCCTGCCCTGCTCTCCGCACCTCTCCAACCCCTTCCCCCAGCAAAAACTCCAGCAACAGTGGACTTGAGGGTGATTAGGCAAAGCTTGGCTAGCTGGACAAGGCGGCACAGTACACATCACAGTAGAGGAGCACCACAAGTGATGCCAGGGCCGATACAGGCCGTCGGCTCCAGACCCCAAACCTGCATCCATCACCCGGTGCTGGAGGACCATGACCCGGGAACCTCGTTAAACTGAAGGGGGACAGTGCCGCAGGAGAGCCGGCCGACCTCCAGGTGGCACTCGGTACCACGGCACGCAGGGACGCGCCCCGGGGTTGGGAGTTTTTCGTCTTTCATTGGTTTCCCATGATGGGGATGCGCCTGGCTACCTCCCCGTGCCCACGAGATGGGTGCACACCGAATGTCTGACGGCTCGGGAAATCTAGCCGCACAATGGGAAACCCCCCGGGAACATGGGGCGGTGGCAGGCGAGGTCCCCAAACCGACTGTAGGGAAGTTAAAGACTCCAGTTAAAGCTCGTTGGCCTGCACTGAGCTCTTCATCCGCGGCCTAGCATTTCTGGCCGCCACTTCTACGGGGCGGAAAGAGGCAAGGGCTCACTCACTACCTGCTCCCACGAAGAGCACGCCGGCCCCTTCACTGGCTGAGTCTGGCGGGGTTTTGAGCAGCCCTAGACAAAGCACACATATTTTAAGCCACCTCAGAGCATCCCATTTGGAAAAGCAAATGAAGCTGCAATAGAAACTTGACCCTGAGCTCTCACGTGGCCCTGCCAGAATAGGCTCCTGGCCTGTCCCAGCGGGTCTCTCTCCAGTGAGCCCCACTCCCCTTGGGCCGGTGCGACGAGCCAGGCGGTTGGTATCAATTATTCTTATTATCTGCTAGGAAGTTGTTGGCCACCGATGTCCTTGTCTAGTGCAAGGAGGCGCGGCGCGGAGCAGGGACAGTCCTGGCTCAGACCCGAGAGAACAAGTCCATCCTCTCCCTGTTATTTCTGGCTGACCCAGGCAGCACGACGCGGTAACAAGAGCCCGTGTGAAGAGCAGACGGAGCGAAACCCACTCACCGCGGACACCTGCTGCTAGAAGAGAAACTCCACCGC